GACGCTGGTCTACTGAACTTCCAGAGAGGAGGGGAGAGACTAGAGAGAGAGAGGGAGAAGGGAGGGTGCGTGGAGAGACTTTTGTGGGAGTGGAAAGGATAGCGAGAACTGCCAGAGTTCCTGCTTTCTCCGCCAGCTGTTGACTCTCACGATAGTTAGTGCTGTGCTGTGCTGTGCTGTGTGTGTGTGTGTGTGTGTGTGTGTGTGTGTGTGTGTGTGTGTGTGTGTGTGTGTGTGTGTTCGCGTGCGTGCGTGCGCGCGCATATGTGTGGGTGAAAAACTAAAAGTCTATCTCAAATTGCATATTTGGCATGCGAAATCATTGATTTTGCAAAGCATTGCAAGAAGAAATGAGAAACGGATACCACAATGTTTATGTATTGTTTAGGCTACGCCAATATTAAGTATGTTTTCGGACAAAGAGTATCTTCCTGCTTCTTCAAATCAGTACAAGGGCGTAATTGGGAAGGGAAGGTGGAGATTTGTTTTCCATTTGTTTGAGCTTACTTTAAGCAAAATGGTCAAAGGCCTCATCTTGCTATTTGCATGTGGCCTCCAAATTAGGCCTACTTTTACTTTGAATACCATACAATTAATGTCTGAAAAATACTTTTGGTCCTTAAAAATGAGATAAAATTTTACTTAAGAGTTATTTAAAAAGATGACTTTCACTTCTACCTAAGTCATATTCTGGTATGGTTCTTTCTCTAGAGTTGGCTTTCAGGTAGCTTCATCCACCACTGGAAAAGTCGAAGGATCACAGCTACTGGTGTTGTATTTACTTTTAGCAGAATAGCTGCTCTTCAACTATTTTCAAAATAACCTGAACTCCCTTTTTATTTAGAAAGTGCACTAAGGTCCCAATATCTGCACTCCTGCTCTTGCGCCCCTTGCGTTCTGCATAAGGGTTGCTAGACCGTATGGGTGTCCCAATTCCCTAAGTTGTTCTCCAGGGGTTCCCTCTTGCACGCTTAGTGCACCCCTCTAGCAAGTGCATATTGCACCTCACTTCACTTGGGGCTATACCTAGAAATCCTCTAGTGTTGTGGCATTTCAAACAGCTGACCAAAAGTTGAGCAAAACGGTTGTTACAGGGTTGATCCGACAGCAAAGCTGAGAAAAGAGATGATGGAAAATAATTTTTTAAAGTGTAAGTGAGAATTGTCTTTTTTATCAGGAATTGATAAAAATCTTTACAAATATGAGCTTACGTGAAGCTGCTCGCCAATTCAGAACATAACACATGACATATTTCACTTTCTTTTGCTATTCCTATAAGGACCGACAAGCTGACATTTAATCTTATAAAGTTAAGGGCAGAGAATAAGCTGCTATTCATGAAGCACAGAAAAGCCTCTACCCAGCAATATGCATTAGTTAGCATAATGTCAAAATGTCGCTCGAGGGCCATGACAAAAGACAAGTGGAGTACGATTAGTGTTGGGACTAATGTGTTATGTTAAAGGGCCCATATTATGCTTTTTCTGGTTTTATATGCTCTTTAGTGTGTTTTCCAAGTGTCCTGTGCATGTTTAGGCACATCTATGTACAAAAATTAAAAGTCTGCGGAAACGCAGCTTCTCCTACGTCCTCCTGTTAGCTGCAGCATTAGCTGCATGTAACGCTAGGTTCTAGCTCCCCTCGAAATAAAATTGTCAGTGTGACGTCTTGTCAGTGTGAGATCACTGATCTAAGCCCCTTGGCTCATTGTGGCAAGACCAGCAGCTCATGTTGCACGCCCATTAACTTCTGTAGCATGCCCACGATATGCCGTAGCCTGCGGTAGCACAGTAGTGCTAAGGTGCTAATGTTTTTGCTCCCTGGCCCTCAGAGCCAGAGTGGCTGAGCGACTGACCAATTACGGCAGAGCCGACAGGCCGACCAATCAGATCAGACTTGGCACACGTGCAGACTCTGAACGTGGGCACTTCAGAGCCTTAGAGAGAGTCAGAAGCGAGCCGGTGCATGGAGCGGCAGTACATGAAAACAGACACTTTTTTCGAACTTTAGCTATTGTGAACATACTTTAGTAGGTACAGATTAAATATATGAACCCCAAAAAGGGCATAATATGGGCTCTTTAAAGATATTGTCAATGTGCAGGAAGGAAAACTTCTCTCACAAGAAATCAGCACTGATGTAAACAACAACACATTTCAACTAAACTTGTTGTCAGAGAGTGCTGTGCTGCAGACACCTGAGGTACAGTTTATGTTAGCTCGGCAGACCAAGGAGCAGACACTCCATACAAACAGACAAGGCTTTATTCAAACATTGCCTGCTCCACGATGTGTAAGCTGACTAAATTGATAGACAGGCATGTTGTTGGCGAAGTGCTTCCCATCAACTGTTGATTCTCTTGCCTTCAGAGATCTAATTGGTAAAATACCTGCAAATTGAAATTGACTAGTGTTATTTAATATTTGTTGTTGTCACAGAACTATATTGCAATTGCAACACTAAATAATGTCAACATTAATATGAGTAAATAAAAAAACTTGAATATGAGAAGTTTGTGGTTGGTTTCTAATCAATTTTAGCAGCAGTACTGAAAACACCAGAGCGATGTTTCCTCTGCTGAACCCAAACAGAAGTGACATAAATGATGTGTATATGGAAAGCCTTAACTGGTTAACTAGTGTGCATTTATGTAAAACTAGTTTAAGATTGAAATAAATTCCCAACTAGTTAACCATTTGAAATCCTACTCATAATCATTTTGTAACTAGTATTGCTAATGACATTTTGGCTCAGTTAACTAGTAAAACTATTTGAGCTTCACTAGTTATCTAGTAAGATTCTTAAAAAACATAACTAGTAGTACCAGTGGAAATTTTGGCTCTACTTACTTAACTTTCTCGTTAACTCGTGAACATTTTCAGCATCACTAGCTAACTAGTAAGGTCAAAAGCCCAGAACTACTTAAATAGTTCACTATGTGAATCTTACTAGTTACTAGTAAACATTTTTAGGCTAACTAGTTGGGTCGAAATCAAGGATATCAAATAAATGCTGGAATGGCTTTCCATACTTGTACAGCACTGTCCCATTTCTGTTCTTTACAGCTTCTGTCCTTTGCACACTAAAAGGAAGATCTTAGGGCAGAAGTGTGGATATTGGGACAAGGCTTAAGTGGCACAGGGACAGCTGCAGTACCAAGGACAATGTTTACAATTTAAATGTGGAGAATGTGTGTTATTATTGTTGTTGGACACACTATTATTTTGTGACACTTAAAATTCTAGATTGTGATGATTGGTCATATGACCATGTATTTAACACACCTGTGAATGCCCATGGAATTATTCTTGGCCAACCTGAGGAAGCTACAGGGGATACATATTACAATATTTAATATTTGTGCAACACAGGACTTGATCTGCAAATGTTCTCACTTTCTCTGTCTTTGCACTAGGCTACCTCACTAATGATTTTGGAACCCTTTCAGCTATTGTCTGACAATGATAGCCTCTGGTACTGAATACCAACATTTTGGTACTAAGCTTTAACAGACTTCCAGATCAGGCTTCCTTTTTCTTGCATTACTTTTATTTACACTTTGAGGAGCAAATATACGGGAGAATGGAGTTGGGAGTTGAAGACAACATTGACAACATTGACTGGGTGAGAAGAAAAATTAACAAAACTCTTATTATATTATATTATATTATTCAAAGGGTCAGTCATCTTTTCACCACCAGTTGTCTCCTCCATTATTGTAGTCTAATTTATCCTTATGTTTCATTTTGTAATATAGTTTGGGAGAGTACTTTTCAATCCCATAGAATTAGTCTCTTCCAGAAACGCCCTGTCAGGGTGGCAATACGATCACAGTCCCATGCCTCTTCTCCTCCTTTGTTTCAGAAGCTCCAGATTCTTAAACTGTATAACATATATATTACTCAAATATTATTTTTAATTTATAAAACAGCGAGTGAAGGAAATATCCCGGATATTCCAAGTCCATTCTTGATAACTATTTCTGTCTTTCAATGTATCATGGCAGTGTCATTAAAAAAGACTAAATTTTTAAAAAAGAGCACATTCTTTCAAATAATTTGTCAGCTACATTATAAGAAAGGCTTTAAAAAGCCTCGGATGAAAATGAACCTCACGTGCAGTCTAACTTTGTGAATTGACTCCCTCTAGTGGCGCAAGGCGGTAACATGGAGTCCATTGATTAATCGGAACTAGAAGAATGGTGCGATAGCACAGGTTTACGGTTTTAACCGATAGAAAAACAATCATTAGTAAAAAAAAAATGTTATCTTGAATAAAATGTTGTAGGGAAGTTTTTGAATTTTGTCTTTGGCTTTCAGAAAAACAGTTGTGTGTTGATGGTTAAAGTTTTTATATTCCTTTTAATCAAACAGGTGAAACACGTGCACCAACTTCAACACCAACTCAGCAATGAATCAATCCCAATCTGAACCACTGTCTCTTTAGACATTTTATTAAACAGGCCTAAGTGTTTGTGTGCAATGTCTGCAAGATAGAATAATTGTGATGAATTGTTTATAAACAAAGGTGGAGCCAAATATTACAAAAAGGACTTTGGGTAAATTAGCTGATGAAGGGAAAATTGCACATCAGACAAACAGGAGACTTTTTCGGGCCTAACAAATACTTGTTTTAAATGTTCAACTGTGTTATAGCCTATAAAACTGAAGAGTGGAGTTGAGTGGGCTAAACTGCTAATCTTATTGTTGACCAGCAGATGTCGCTATTTTACATATGCGGAGTTTTTGCATCAATCGACTAAAGGGTGCCTTTGTTATCCGTATTCAAATTTAGCCTACAGAATATAGATTAAAATACTTTTAAAACTGGTGTTGTTTCTACTGTTTTTGACACGACCGAAAATTGAGACTGTCTTGAATATTCCCTGCCATGCAATTACTTTACCTAGGCTACATTTAAATTACAGCCAAATAATTGTACGTGACGCTTACGTCCATTACGCTTGATTTACGCAGATCTTGACGGTCACGTGACCCCCCCCCCCTCCTCCAGCTCGCTTTAAACAAGAGAGACTCCTCTGTCTGCCTCAAGGCGTATCCGCTGTTGGATCCTTCTCTGCTCTCGAACGGATTTTTTCAGCATTACAAAGTTGCAATGGACAGCAGAGGATATGGTTCTGGTAATTATAGATTACATTGTACTTAAAAAATGTGACCTATCCTGTTGTGCAGATACGTTTAGCGTCACTAGCTACATGGTAGCACTAGTGTGCTAGTCCTGAGCTAGGTCCGCCTCTGCCTCGCAGAAACAACGAGCAGATGCAGCCTAAACAAAAAAAGAGTCAGCCTTCTGTAATGTCTACATTTTAAAACGAGACTAACAAATTAATTCCAGAGCATTTAAACACAAACCCATTACGGCTTAACGGGGTTGTTACCCTGTAACATGCAGGTAAAAATAGCTTGCTAGGTTAGCCACAAAGCCGTCAGTGTTTATTTGCTAACATGCTAACACCTGGTGTTGTGTGGTCCATTGTTAGATTCTGTTGGCATGTTAACTGTGTTGCTAAAGGTGGCTTTCCAATTTTGTTAAAATGGAGTCAGTGAGTGAAAAACTAGACCTTTAAAGGCCTGTTAATAAAATGGCCGCCTCAGCAAAGCTGCTGTTTCCATAATGTGGTTTTACAAACTTTGAAGCTGATATAAAAATCCGACTTTTCTCAAATTCTCAGCGAGTTAAATGGGAATGTAACAGATTAATTATTTGATAAATGTTAATAAACCCTGTCGGCCTACTTTCTAAGTGTCCACATCTCCTGAGACATTTTGATTTAGACTTTTGAGTTCCTTTCTTCACATTTTACCTCTTTATTGTTAAACCACAAAGCCATATGTAGTTAATCATAACCTGATGAAATGACTCTTCACGTCTAAATAGGCTTCTATAATCTATAACCTATTGAATTAATTTACTGATGTGTATTCTTTCCTTTCATAGGTTACTCCAGCTGGGGAGGTGGAGGTTCAGGCAGCAGAGGTGAGAATATGAATGGATGTAAAACCCATTGTAATGCTCTATGAAAGGACAACACACCAGTTTTGATGTGATATTGACTACATCATTTCTACTACTTGTTTTAAAAAAAACTGTAATCTTAAGTATTTATTTATTTAATGGTAAAAGAAAGTGAAAGGAGCTGATTGCAAGACTAGTTGATGCTCTGTTAGTCGGTTATAATTTTAGTGTGTAACAAACATTATGAAATCTTTACTTTACTAGGTTCTAGTGGCTTTGATATGTATGGCGGAGGTTATAAGGACTCCATGTCAGGGCTCGGGGGCTATGGAGGTGGAGGAGGTGGAGGCGGAGGCGGCCATATGAAGAGAGGTCTCTCTGGATCATCCCTGCTCTCTTCCACCGGCACACATGCAGACGCTGTTATTGCAAAGATCAATCAGCGCCTTGATATGCTCACTCAGCTGGAGGGGGGTTTGAAAGGATCTCGTGGTGACAGGTAATAACCCCTTTCCTTTCTTATGGTTTAACATTTTAGTAGTGGCATTCATGCAAAAAACATAACACGTTTTAAAGTGGCATAAAATCAAGCTGTCCGTAACACATTATCAAGGCTTTAATCTTTGTTCTGAAAGAAAATATAATTAAAAACAGGTATCTAGTTTTATAGGAGTGTCTATCCAGCGCAAGACATCAGGGAGATTGCTTAGAGGTTACTGTTTATTGTTTTTAGTGGCCATTAATCTCGCAGAGATCTCCTCCTTTAAAACAAACAGACAAGGTGATCTACATGTAAAGTCATGGAAGAAAGTAGTTTCACATTTCTATCTATTGCGCCTCATTCACCAACAGTTCTCAGGAAAATGTGTTCGTAAACACCACTTAAAAATTTCAAGTGCTGCTAGATTCAGAGATTTACTAAACATTTCTGACATTCACAAATTCTTGTGCACATTTTAAGTGCTGACTTCCCCGTGTAAAACTATTTGCGTAAATGTAAACACAGGGTTTTTATATAATCAGCTTTTTTAACTATACAATGTATAGTCTCAACTGCAAAATGTTAAATTATTAATATAAACTAAGCACTAAACCTAAGCACCTGTGTAAACTTTTTAATACCCTTACTTGCGCCAATTTTCTTACATGTTGAGTGCTCAGAAATTTCTATATCTTAGTTTAAGCATTCACAACATCTTCTGAGATTTTAAATAGATTCATAACGTCTAAAAATCGTTTTTTGGTTTTTTTTGGGGGGCCAATCAGTCACTCCCTGCTCAGTGCTAAGGCTAGCTCTTAAACTCGGTAGAATGCCAAATTCAGCCAATCTTACAGATGACTGGAGTAGATCATGAAGTATGTACTAATTCATTAATAGACTTTGAATCATGAATCCAGAATCGTTTTGAATCAAAAATAGATGCCGAATTGCATTGCGACCCCAAGAATTGAAATGGAATCTTGAGACACCCAAAGATTCCCAGCCCTACTATCAAGTTTGATCGCAGTCCCCCTTTTTAAGAATGTGTTATTGGCCCGCCTTACCCTTGATGTTGCCTTTTTAAGTGTTGCTTGTTTGAAGACTCGTCTGTAAAGTGTCCCTCTTAATGCCTTGATTAGAAATGTTCTGAAGTATAATACGATGCTTGGCCGTCTAATGCTATTGGTAATTTAAAAGTCAAACAGGTCTTGTCCTAGCTTGTGCTTCTGAAGTGTCCTGGTGGTGTAAGTTCTGTTAATTACATTCTAGTAGTAAACATACAGACCATGACGGTACAGTTGGAAATTTAGGTGTTTTTGTGATAAAATGGTGATGGTTAGTTTGGCTGTTGGGCTTGCCAAGTATTTGACTTACATTTAACAGTTAATGTTTTCCTTGCTCCCTGTTTTGGATGAGGAGGATGTGTGTTGCTCTTTAGGTGTAATTGTATGCCCTTGCCATGTTGTGGTTTTTCTGATTGCTGGAAAGAAAATGTTGTTTTGATTTTTGAAAACATCGGACCTCATGAAAATACATGGCCTCTTGATGTAGCTGCACCCAGACACGTTTCTGTTAGTTTCAGATTGAGAAAAATGCCGATGAGGCCCGTTCATCTTTACATAGCACCATTTGAACATTACCTTTTTGTTGACATAGCTTTTATTTATTCATATGCTCTTTCCCTCTCATCATCCATGTGACCTAACCCTAAGTTCTGGCCATAGGTTACACAAGAGATGGTTTCATAGGTTTTATCATGATGTTCACAAAAAGGCCCAGTTTATGTCAAGCCCCCCCTTTTTTTTAATTTTTTTTTTTTTTAGAGTTGCTACTATAATCCAGATACTTCCCAGGAAGCATCACTTCTTTATGGCTCAAGACATTCCTGTTACCATACTCATGTCAATTAAATTTTTGAAGTTAAGAAACCATATTCACCTCAAATCTGCAGGATACTGTTTGACCTCCGCCAGACAATGTGGTTTGATTAGTTCCTGTTAACTTTAAGTTCGGTTGAAAATCCTAAATACATTATTAATCACCACGAGCGGAGTGTTGAATTGTCTTGGATCATCAATTTATGATCTATTGTGGTTTCTGAAATAAAGCTGGGAGTGACCAAAAAAACAAATCCGCAGAAGCGAGACCTTGGAGGAGAAGGAAAAGCAGGTGGAGAAATCCAAACCTGACTGCCCTACCTGCCTCCCCTGCTCTCTGCTCTTCTCTGTCAACCCTCTCCCTCCCTCCCGCAGGTATGACCAGTACGAGTCATTCGACTCGCGCACCTCCTCCGCCCCCACCTCCTTCCGAGATCTCTACAGATCTGGTGGTGGTAGCTATGGTTATGGCGATGGCCGTGGGGACAACATGCTGTTGGGACAGCGAGGAGGCTCAGGCTTCGGAGGGGGAATTGGGCTAGGAGGAGGAGGAGGCTTTGACAGCCCCTCTTCTTCCTATGGCGTCGCTAAAATGCGACAGAATATGAGAGAGTCCTTCAGCAGTGTCCAGGGAGGAGGTTCTGGAGGTGGAGGTGGAGGATGGGCTGGAGCAGGCCGACGTTCCCCCAGAAGGGGTGGAAGTGCCGGGGGTCGAGGAGCTGGAGGAGGGTTTGGAAACCGCAGGTCTGACCCCACTCCATTAGGCGGAGGCGGGCGGGGAAGTGGTAGCGGTGGCCAGTCCCACCGCGGCCACTCTCCCGGAGGTGGTAGAGGCAAGCTCCCATCCCTCCTGTCCAACCGCATGTACCCTGAAAGTGGGGGCTTCCAGGGTTCCATTCAAGGCCCTCACGACTTTCCTGGGAGGCATTTCGGAGGGGGCCCACGAGCTGGCCGCCAGCGAGGCCGCAAGAGACCCCTCAACAAAGTAAGTACCTCCAGCCAAATAAGACCTCCTCAGACACTGGGCAAAGGTCTTGCCCTTCTGATTCCCTCCTTTTCTATCGTCAACCAAATGGCAAGTCAGCCTAAAGTGCTACAACCTGCTATGTGCCATGTAAAGCAAATTATCCATGACACCCATTTGGCACATCACTTGCCCCTCTAAATCGGCCCAGCCCGTTTAACCTGTCAGACATAAATCATGAAGCTTCCCCTTTTTGTACAGTAAAGGCAAGTGAGAACTCTTTCTGCCCCATTCTTTGTTTCGTTTACCTGTGGGGGTGCAGAATGATTTCATTATGAGGATTTTTTTGGGTTCCTTATTTTTTCTCTTGCCCCTTCCTGGGTAGTCTTAAGATAAGGCTAAGACTATTGATAAGGAAATGCCCAGGGAAGGAACACATATCAATTCTAGAGGTCATCGTTGTGTTTAAAATCAGCTCTGGGTGTTTTTGTTTCCGTTCGTTTGTTTTTGAGTTCAAATTGATTTTGTTGACTGTAGCAGGTGAAACCACAGCGTGATGTGCAGAAGAAGAGAAAGCAGACGCCGACAGCAGGCGATGAACCCGAGTCCAAGATGAATAAGACAGAAAGTGCAGGGTCAGAAGCTACCGAAGGTAATATCTTATTTTAAGGTAATTCAATAAAAACATCACAAATTATATTTCTTGGACCAACGTGGCCTGATGTTGATGTTGTTTGTTTTCATAGAACAATTAGAGAAAAATGGTGATGCCAGTGAACCCAAGACTGCAGCTGTGGTGAGTAGATGACGATAGACAGGAACTCTGGATCAATGTATAAAATTATGGGCCTATCAAGTCTTAAATGTTACCTTGAGTATTCTAAATCAACAATGTCAGATTGTTTATTTGTCCCCTTTTCCCCATTAAAGAACCACTAAACTACTGAGTTGATTGAACAACACAATATCTTTTTTTAAATAATAACCTGCATTTTTTTTTTTTAAAGAAACATGAGGGGTGCAACTGATCACAAAACTGTTTTGTGATTAGATACTTATTTTCATATCGGCCAATATGTAAACGTGTATATCTATGATTTGCTTGTAACTTGTGTACTATTCAAATTGTTATGACTTAAACTTTATTTTAATAATATAACCGATCAAAATGCATCTCCATGAATCTTAATGTATCCAATTCTTAATTTTCTGCACTCTGCACCGTCTTACAATTCCAATCATAACAATACAAGTGTCTTTTTTTTTTTTCTTTTAGCAAAAAGCAGGTTTATCTGAGTACAACAAGCTGTAATTGTTACCTTCCCTCTAAGGACATCAGCATTACAAATAGAAAATCTTTCTGTGAATAACCAATTTGCTGTAATTTACAAAACCTTATTTTCCTTCATATTGCAATGTTGAAGCTGTAACACAAGCAGTCGGTTCATTTAACAGATGTGTGTATGTCTTTTAGCTGGCTGCTCCTGCAGTGCTGTGTGAGTCAGACAAACCAGCAATCATTAATTTAGGGACTATATCTTAAATATTTTGTATCCAACCCCATGATCCGTCAAGAGATTTTATATGGCTATGATAAATATTCTTTAGGTAAAGTTACAGATTGTTGTCATACACAACCGTTAGCTGATACTTGCATGCTTTTTTGTCCTTTGCCAATCATATTCCTTGGTCTGTTTATTGCACCATGTTTTAGCCCATCAGCCCATTTTTTTTTTTAAAGCCATTTTACTCCTAATTTAAATAAGATCAGTCAAGTACAAAGGTTCTGCTCCTTCGTTAATGCTTTGATTAATAAGAGAATCTCCTTCACAGGAACCTGCTGCAGAGGGAGACAAAGGTGAGCCTGACCACACTTCCTCCTTTTTTTCTTCTTTCTTGACTTGAACTTGTCTAGAACTGCTAACCCTCTCATGGGCATAGAGACTTACCTAGCTTGTGTGTTTGTGCTCAGCTTCATCCAAACAGGAAGAAAAGAAAAGTCCGCAGGGCAAACAGACCTCAACCCCAGGTCAGGACAAGCACCCAAAAATGAGGAAGAGGAGGGGCTTCCTAGAGAGGTGAGAACACATACTAAATACCACCTGATTCCTTGGTCTAGGTTTACTACGTTACCCTCCTTCAATTGTCTTTCTTATTACTCTGACTACTCTGATTATTCCATTTGTTTTCAGTAATTTAACTATCAATAGTTGTTAAAACAACATTTAATGAGATGATTTTCTAGTAACTTCGATTGTTTCTGATTTCACTTCTTTTTTTTTTTTTTAATCACACTGTGCTTTATTTATTTTCCAGGGTGATGTTTGCGTGCTCTGTGTGTAAATTCCGCTCATTCTACAAGGAGGAAATGGAAACTCATCTGGAGAGTCGTTTCCACAAAGACAGCTTCAAGTTCCTCTCCAGCCAACTGTCCAAGCCCACTACAGACTTCCTACAGGTTAATGAGACCTATTTAACATCAGAGATTCTCACCACAATTTGTATGCTTAAAATGGATTAATGATAAAACAAAAAATGGACAGTTACATAAATACAGTAAGTTTCCTTGGGTCACTGTCACAAAAAGTGTTGTATGAAGGGTTACTTAACAAATGGTGTTTTGATTTTCACAGGAGTATTTGCTAAACAAGTTCACAAAGACGGAGCAGAGGGTAAGCCAGCTGGAAAACCACTGCGCTGCCATCTGCCAGGTTTACAAAGAGCAAGACCTCACGAGAGGTAAGCAGAAGGTACAGCAGATTTGTCCATAAATGGTGGAAGGAAGAGAATTCATTGAAAATATTTGTCATTCCTGTGTTTTAGATCTTGGTATGGAGCACTTCATGAGGAAAGTGGAAGCTGCCCACTGTGCAGCATGTGACCTCTTCATTCCCATGCAGCCCCACCTGATACAGAAACACATCAAGTCTCCCGACCATAACTACAACAGAAAGGTATGCACCCAAATTGTTATTCAGTGGAAAACTATATGTGCATGTCTTCCACTTATGGTACTAGGTTAAAAAAAACCTATTAGCATAGAAAAACCCCTTATGTCCATATAAGGGCATAAGACTGCAGAGCCATGTGCACATAACTGGAAGTTGCACTGGATCAAAAAGATACAATTCTTCAAACAGAATGAACACTGGATGCCAAGTTATGAATACTGAAGTAGTTCTAATAACAGGAAACAAAAGAGACACTGGCCATATCTCATTTATGTAGGCTTTTATTGTTGTGAATAGCATTTTATTAAATGAATGTCTATGTGCTTAGTTTATATTCAGAATTTAATTTTTGCAGTAAAGATCAATCACGATTGAAATAAAGGTTGATCAGATTTAAATTGCCATTTATACATGTCATTTTATAATATGAAAGTGCTAAATAAAGAAAACATGATTACCAGTAATTTTGCACTACGGTAGTTTTATAAGCACTCAAATGTGTGTAATAGTGGTTTCACAATTGCAGATTGTATTTTTTCCGCTGCAAGTCCGATTGAGCTGATGTGAGAACGCAGTATGATATTATCAGGAGAATTCACCTTGTGCCTGTATGAAACAGTGTTGATGTTTACATCCTGTTACTGGAGCCGGTTAATGTGACTTTGTGATCTCTGCACATAATCAAATGGCTGCATTATGTTTTCTATTCTCCAGTATGTTGTGTGATACCGTTGAACTACATGTAGCATTGATATAAAGGCAAATATTGTCTTTACATCGTATAGCAGACTCAGTTCCTTCGTCAGCTACTTTCCCGTCGTTTTTTTTACATCGTGTGTCTTACCTCAGGAGCCCCCCCATCCTGTCTGACAGGGATGGTACCCCTCTGTGAGGGACATGTGTGAACAGCCAGGTCAGCAGAATATTCGGAGCAGTCTTCCTGAAATTATCCAGATATTTTCAGGAGTGCATATGTGAAAACGGCTTATGAGTGCTTCCAAGTGTTGTTCTTAGCCAAGTACAAATCCCAGTTAATGAGTTGGTGAATGTCAGAATCTTCTTAGAGAAAAAGTGGGTTTTAAGAACAAAGTTTCATTAGAAACTGTTTGAACTTGCCTCTCTGTGATTCAAGGGTATGATGGAGCAGTCAAAGAGGGCCAGTCTATCAGTTGCTCGCAGCATCCTCAACCACAAACTCATTGGCAAGAAGCTGGAGAGCTACCTTAAGGTATGTATACATTTGTCAGCAACATGCACTAAGGCCACATGTTTAATGCATAACTTCAGCTACATTTCCCTCATTGGCCACTCAGATTTTAAAAAGGAGTTTGGGTTTATCTAACTGCTTGTCTTATTACTGGAATTGTAGTAAATACAATTTATTATTACATCTTTTGCTGATTCGAAGAAACGATCCAATCCGAACTGTTAGATTTGCTTATATATATATATATATATATATATATATATATATATAGTGTTTGTAGATCCTTCAGCTGCAAATAAGACACATTTTTGACACCCTACACAATACTGGCTAAGAAATGCATGTGTATAGTCTTCAGTTTGTCACTAATGCAGGGTCTAAAAGGACTGTACTCACAACTGTCTTTTATTGTCAGGGTGAAAACCCATTCACTGGTAACCAAGATGAACAGGACCCAGAGGACTCCATGGTGATGGACGTGTCTGAGATGGACTTAACCAGCGAAACAGCAGATGGCCAGACAGAAGCTACAGAGGAACCGTCGGCTGATGGAGAGACAAGCCAGGAGGTGGTCGATGGTGAAGAAGAAGCAGCAGCAGTAGAGGAGGAAAAGATGGAGGAGGAGCCAGTCATTGAAGAAGAGGAGCAGCAGGGCAACCAGGAAGAGGAGGAAGGTTTTGAAGTTGGAGAAGAAGAGGAGGAAGAAGAGGGATTTGTGGTTCATGATGAGATTGGCGAAGAGGGATTACCTGGCGAGGAAGGGGAGGAAGGAGAGGAAGGAGTTGAGGCAGCAGAAGCTGAGGAGGAAGAAGACAAGAATGATGAATGACTTTTGCAGCCCGGAGCAGTCCCTGAGCCATTCAAACCCATTTCATTGCCAGGCGCATATTAAAAAGATAAACCTACCTGTTCCTTCTGTCTATTGACTCTAAGCTTGTATATTTTTACTTTTTTTTGTTAAATTAATAGTTCTTCATTTTGGGAAATGGTCTTATTCTATTTGTTCCAAGTTAGGATGACACTATTTAACTGTCTTGTGTATTTCTAACTGCTCCTTTGGGAGTGTTGGCAGAAACCAGACTTGAGGGAGCTGGCTAGTGGATTCCCTCAAGTTCAAATTTTCGCAATCAATTTTTGTTTTTTAGACTTTTTCTTGTGCCTTTTTTTGTTAGTTTTCTTCATTTAGATTATTGTTTGAGTTATCATGAGTGTTGAAACTTTGAATTGTACTGTGTACTTTTTTTTTTTTTCTTATTTTTTTTTTTTAATGCCATAACGTCTGTTGATGATCATGAGCGGATGAATTTACAACATTTTTTTTTTCCAACCTAGAATGGCTGTGTGCTTTCTGTTCTACAGTTGAGATGATGTTTGAGGGCACTGTGACTATGGAGTGAGTACAGAATATTCATAATTAATATGTAACATGTAACAACTTTATTCCTGTCTGAGTAGGAAATAAACTTGTTGAATAAATTCCTGTTTCACTGTTTTTCTGTTTAGTGATGTCTTTTTGTTTAATTCCCAAGTTGTATGGTCTAAAGGTTTAAGAAATGTTGCTGAAGCATTATTAAATACAATGATTTAAACACAAATCACACCATCACATAAAAAAACGTGAAAATATTAATGTCACATTTTGATTAAAGTCCATATCTGCAGTTCTTTAATAATAACTAACAACCAATCTGATGTAAATTTTGATGACATCAGTGTTGACTTGGCTATTAGATGTGTCTTCTAAACAACTTATTTTTAGCAACACGACTGTCCACAAGGTGGTGTCACCTGATGACTTCAGAGCTGCAGTTTAGTATGTCAATGATTTTATGGTTTTATACCATTTGGCGACATAAATTCAGAAAAACAAGGATCATAAAACGGTAAAACTACATGGGCGTTATTTATCAGTAAAATCAAATTGCCACTATTTAAGCAAAACATAACTTATTTAAAAACGATTATGTTTTTCAAGAGACTGTTGGCAAAACATTTTATATTGAACTGCAAACATTACTCTTGACAGCACTATATTTTACATGTTTTTTTCGATAATACTCATTTTTTTCATTAAGATTTAAAGCATTTGTATTCTATTACGTCTCTCGGTGATGTCATCGGGATTATAGGCTACATCAAAGGATTTAATACAAATATTTTTAAGAAATAAAAAAAGCGAGTTAGAACTACAGCAACACCATCTGCACACAATTAACACTTTTTTAACACAATTAGCACAGACATTTTCAATCGATTAATTTTGCCATCTTAAACAAATCAATTGGATAAAATACAATAACATAAATACAAACCTGTACTTGATAGAAATCATTACAATGTGTTGCGTGATGTTACGGGCTGAGAGTGGGCGGAGCTATGGGTGAATTTTGAATGACATACTATGGACCCGCCCCCTTGCGTCTGACGTTTTCGACGTCAAACGGGACTGTTTGTTCTAGATTTGGGGCGAGGAAGGTCTGCGAGCGCTGACAACCGACTGAAGAAGGTAAAAAATACCATTTTATTAGTTTGTATTGATTACATTGAAATAATAAACGTATGCCTGTAACTCCAAGGACCGGGTGAAAGGTTAACAACGGGCATCGGGGGCGTTTTTCAGGCGCTGTCAGTGTGCGCTTCTCTAAGCGGAGCATGAGCTGCCTTCACCAGGCCTTGCACCGGTTCTGGCACACGCTACAGAAGATTTCTTGTCTTTTAAATAGGCGAGATTAGGTTATAGTGTGCATATTGTAATGTTGTTTCTTTATTCTTTATTCTAAACGTGTCGTAAGGTTGTTTTCATGGCAGTGGACACCCCGCGCTGTCAGTGTGCACGTTAGCTGCAGGTCGCTATCGCGCTAGCCTGTTAGCTGCTAGGCTGTTTGTTTGTAGCCCCGTAGGCCGTATTCGTGACGTAACTTACGTCTTTTCGGCAGCGTAGGTTACGCAGGACTTCATTAGAAGTGCAACGTACGTCATTTCGAGAATATCAATCCCGTCGTAGTTGTAGTCTGAACGGCGGTTTTACGTGTGGAGCTGTCAGCTGCTCACTGGAAACATGGCGCTGCACTGACACGAAAGGTTAACAAGGCAGAGTTGTTGAACAAAGTTGGTTGTCAACGCAGTGTTTGTAAAATGAATTTGTGGCATTACGTGTAATGATGGATATAACACAATCAACGTCGTTAAGAATCTTTGCTCAAAATCATAGCTACAAGATATGAAATAATATAAAACATGGCTGATGAATGTAGAAGTAATTTATTTGTGTTAAACATTTACTGAGTTGTCTTTTATTTGAAGTTGCTTCGACATTGCTTTGCACCTTATGTTAACTATGCACATGTACACCTGTATAACCTGTGTAAGGTTTTGTCCTTTTTGATGTTCGTTGGTACTTATAAAGCGTTTCCATAGTGATGTGCTCAGTTAGATTTTATGAGTAATGTTATTGGGAAGTAGTTTGGGACTTCAGGTTTAAAGATACGTTCATTACAATATTGTATTACGTTTTAATACAAATTCTGTTATATTTAATGTCAATAAGTTTGCTGAAAAAGTACTTTAAAGTTACATAGTGTGTTGCAGTGTTTGTTTTGGTTTCTTTTTCAGAAAAGAGAGAGCTGTTAAGAACCTTTTTAACAACTTGTAATGAGGACCTGAAGAAGACCATTCAGCAGTGATCAGGGGAAAGAAATCGCTCACAGCATTAGAAAGGCAGTCATGGTGTTTTTTAAGTATTGACTGATTGTTTGACATTTCTAAAAAGATCTAGAAAGGAAAGTTACACACTGTGAAATACTTAAAGGTAGATTACATAAGCATAGGGGCAAAGCAATGTTGCAGCTAATTTACGGCGTCTATACACTTTATTTACTAAAAATATAATGTAAGGGTCCATTGTGCTGCGGTATATTCGTGTGTGTGAAATAGTGTAGTTAGATTTTGATTAGTTGGGATAGAAAGGGTATATAAATTGGCTTTTATGTGTATCACAAACTTCATGCCACCCCTGCATTAGAGGGGCCTCAGTTGGGCAGCCCCATTTAAAAAAAAAAAAAAAAAAAAGAAATCTGTATGCGCCCCTATTTATCAAGCTAACATGCTTGCAAGCACATCATGTTCCTCTGGCCAGCAGCAGGACTGAGGGTTCTGTTGACGGGACAGAGGGGGCAACAACAGAAGGACAGGAACTCAGCTTTCACCAAGGTAAAAGTCAGACAACTTCCCACTGATTTATGACCGCCTTTTCTTCATCGATCTCCTCCATAGTGACTGACACTGCTTCTGCTGAGGTAGTCACTGTCTGATTTCATAGCTGCAAAATGATTTCCTATTCATACGGACTCATCTTAGAAGCAAACACAGATAAGACAGGAGGCAGTGATGAAAGTCTCTTTCTGGTCTATATTGTCTCTTTATTGACTTACAAGCAAGAACAGACTGTTTCTGTTGAGTCGAGTTCATAAACAGACAGCAAAGTGCACCGCTCTCTCTTTCACGAAAGTCAATGCAGATCGCTCATCGACGTTCTCTTTCCCTCACCGCTATCTATATAAAGAACTAATCAGTGTTATGTAAAATGAATGTATGCAACTCCATCCATAGTATTTTAGCGCTCTTTAAGAGCAGCGTGCTTTACTCTCATGACAAGTCAAATAAAAGTCGGCAGGTGAACAAAAGCTATCCCTGTATCAAATGTTTCAGAGAAATATCTTCAAAAGAAGCAAAGAAACCAAACAGTTGTAACTTCCTCAGGTAACAACATTTCCACCCAATAGCCTCTGTCAGATAAAGAAAGGAAAACATACAAACTTTCCACGTGCAGGGTCATTCATGTGTTCATGTGGTCCTATTTGTCCTCAGCTTGGAGGAACATAGTCCTGGAAACTCATTTTTCAGCAGAATCATCAGTTTCTTGCTTGCATATGGAAATGGATAATTGTGCTACAGGAGTATAGTAACATCAGTCAGGAAGTAAGGCGATGCTCTATAACAGCTCGTAATTAGTGTGTTATCGAAGTCTCAGTTCATATTTCCGGTTGGTCAAGGGTTATTACCAGAAGAAGAAAAAAAACAACATCTTTTGAATATTGCACAGGAAGAAGGAACAAAAGAGATGCAACCTTGATGAACAGGTTGGAAAAAGGAGCTACATGTCTAATCCCAACACCATCCAACTTTTAACATTTCATGAAAAGATACAACATTTGTATTTGTCACTGCTGAATCAAAACACTTAAAGTATCTTACCTGATCACAGCTTCCTGTGGCGCTGCATGTTCTTAAATCTACCTTGTAGTATTTTTGGCACTGTATTCAGGGACTGTATAACATCTTCATTGTCTAAAATGCTATATTTTTACTTTAATTTTTTTTAAAGTTAGGAATGGGCTTGAATTTAAAGTATATGCTTGAAATAAAGTTTCAAATTTTCTAATGAAAAGATCCCGTTCTATATGTGGGGCTCATGGGGTTGTAAAAAAATGTTTCATTTGCATTATTGTTACATTTTAGATCAAGTAGGCTGTTTTGACTGAAAATGTGTAATTTCTCCTTAAAAGCTGACAAACTTCATTTGAAGTTATTCAACACCCTGTTATAAGATACTGAACAACTTTTTCTGTCTCTCTCCCAGGTGTGACACTTGGCCTCTAACCTGTGTGTTGTGGTGTCCTTGCACACACACGTCCCACTGACCGACCTCCGGTGTTACGTCTCGGAATCGCCACCTCACCGACTGAGAAATGATCACCCAATAGGAATAGACCACAGCTGTAAAGCATCAAACATGTGAGTCTTCAGAATCAGAAATACTTATATCCTGGGGGGACTTTGGGCATTACAGATAATTATATTCATACTAAAGGCAGGGTTGGTAATTTTCTCCAGATATACTTTTTAAGATTTTGATTGAAATTGTGACGAAAATCCGTCATCTGTAGCGGTTGTAAGCATGTAATAACTTGATCAATGTCTGCCACGAGGTACCACTTTGATGAACCAATCATGCCTCCCTCTCTCCCTGCTCGTTCTCTTCCCCATGCGTGCACGTGCACACGTGCACGCATGGGGAAGAGAACGAGTTTATACTGTGAGTTTAGCGTTGGCCATTGTCAGTAGTTAAATAGTCACGTTTTGGTTTTTTTCCACATGAATTATGATAAAGTTGCAAGCGATGAGCTGAGGTCGCTTCTGGAGCAACAGCGCTCGTGCATGTGAGTGAGGGGAATGGCTTTGAGGGAGCACAGAGGGGAGGGGGGTGGTGCAGACCGAGCACTGAGAGAATGCTACTTTCAAAAGTCGTGCTTCACATACAGGAGAGTGCACAAGTAAAATCCCAACACATCACACATATCAGCACACATTCAAACATGGTACAAGGACTGACTAAATGTAGGAAAGCTCTGATGTTTTAAACAGCTTCTAAAGACTCTTATATGTAGTTCAAACACATTTGGCAGACCTGTTGTTCTGGGGAAGACTGTTTCAGAGTTTAGGAGCTGCCACTTCAAAATAAAAGTCAACTCTTGAATTGAAATGTGTGTGTGTGTGTGCGTGTCGGGGTGGAACTCTGCCGTGCGCGACAGAGAGCAGAGGAGAATTGTAAACGTGTGTTAGTACAAATTTTCATGAAATTCATTCATCTTGGTAACTTTGTGAAATGTACTATTTAAGTCTGTCTACCACCTGTTAGCACTCCTACTTTGGGTGTCTGAGGCCGTAACCTTATATGGGTGAAACACCTAAATTGTAGCAGATCTTTATTTGTGTAGGAGCCAACCATATGTTGTCAACAACTGTTTTCTAGACAAAGAGTCTACATCTGTTACGTATACAAATCAGTGTCATGTCATCTTTATTGTTTTATAGTGATGTACCCAAATAGAAAGGAATTTGTGGGTTGCACCTTTTAACAGAATATAAGCAGCACTGTGAACACTGTTACTTTGTCAGCGATTTGTAAGCATGCGTGTTTGGTAAAGTTGTCTGACCTCGGCCGATTAAATGGTGTTATAATCTACAGTCTGTTTCACGATTTCCTCATTGGATTTATACAGCAGAAACAACCCCCACCTAAACAACGCGCGACCATGTAGAGACAGAAATGACATGCCGTCGTGTAAATAAGGTAAATAAGGTAAATAACATAAGGCTATTAAGTTTGTTTAATAAAAGGAGGAGGTATAGACCTGTTCTATAGGAAAGGTATCCTTATGACTTCTGTTGTGATCTGGCGCTATATAGAAAATAAAATGAACTTGACCATCAAGGGGGCCGGGGGGTGCCGTTGGGGGGGCGGGCCGCCCCACGAGTATAGTGGTAGGGGAAACACTGAACATGGACTAAGTCTGAGTGACATCACCCATTGGTTTTGAAAGGGCTGTTATTGAAGCCCTTCCATGCCGGTTGCCATATTGGAAATGCTGACTATCAAACTCCCGGTCGACCTAACAACAGGCAAAGAGCTGGAGTTAAGGTGGTCCATTAGCCTCCTGACAAACCGGAGGTTACCACTGGATCAAGATTACTTTACAGTGCAGAAAAGCCAAATGATGATCAGAATGTAGGAAAAACATTTGGGGTTAAAAGTTTATCATGGTGAAACACAAATGTGCATAGCTATATTCATTACAAATTATTATATATATATATATTAATTCTAGTCAGTTAGGACCAGTTTAAATGACCAGAATAAGGCAGATTCAAAACAAATACTTCAGAGTTTGAATCCAAAATTGTTGTCCAGGTAATGTTCTGTAATTCAGGAGTTGATTTTTGCACAAATTATTGCCCAGTTTAGATTTATTGTTAAAATGAATGCGAAATAAGAACTCTTCTTTCATTACCTGTTTTATTATTCATTTAAAAGATAAAATCAATCAATCAATAAAAATCATAGTTCAACTATGTCAAGCTACCCCCCAGCAACCATTTATTACTAAAGTTAGTCATTTCCATTTCTACTTATGAAATATAATATCATTCATTTGTTTAATAAAAAAATAAAGCAATTACAGTCTAACTTGCATCAACATAGCAGTCCTGCTGAGTTATATAACTGGCTGGCAATTGAATCCAGTGATTTGATGTTCATTTGTACTTGATGATTGAAAAGCATACTACATGCATGCAAATTAGTCGCTTTGCCAACTTGTGCAATTCATGTTGATTCGTGGAGGTTTTTTTTGTGGGGGTGTATGAGTGACAGACAAATACATATTTCTGTCAAATGATCACGTGAGCGAGTGAACTGCATTCACGACAAACATTTTTTACTCAACTGTCGGGACCTGTTACAAAGACGCAACATAAGATGTCTGGTTTGCATGGTTTCGATGCTGAGGATGAAACAGTGTTGTTCTTGAAAAAGGAAACATTTTCTTGATATATGATTGCCTCTGAAGCAGAGGCTTTTTGGTGACACTGACAGTGAAAATGACTTGAACTGACCCGATGGGAGAGTCGGCTGGTTTCAGAGTTGAGGTGTGATACTGAGACTGGCTGAGATTTGTTTTCAGAGAAAGTTTGTTTCACAACAGAAGTGCTAAAAGCATTTGTTAATTTTCCTTCTAGAGAGTCGAGTAAGGAGAGTAATGGCCTGAGGGGGGCTCCCCCCAGTCCCACCTGCCCCTGCCAGGTCCAATCTGCCCAACCTGTCGGCTCAGCAACTGAAACCCCGCTTTGCTATGGGAGACGGACTGGAGGCAGGCAGCAGCCAGAACCCTCCCTCTGCCCCACCCCCTCTCTCTTTCAACCCGCCACCCCCCGAAACATGGAACCCCTCCAGACCCAAACGACAGACCAACCAGCTACAGGTACGCACATATCTGTTTCACTCACTTTTCACTGTGCTGGGTGTTAAGACTTTAAATTGATTGAATTTTGTATTTTTTTTGCTCATTTTCAGTTCCTGCTCAAAGAGGTGTTGAAGACATTATGGAAACACAACTTCGCATGGCCCTTCCAGAGTCCTGTAGATGCCATCAAACTCGGTTTACCTGTGAGTCACTGTGTTTAATTTGCCCCTTAATATATTTTATCTTCCATAACACACACAGAAAGCATCTAAAACAGCCACACTTATTTTAATTACTACTCTAGAAGTAGCCACATGTTTAGAGACATGGAATACCTAAATTGGCAGCGGTTACTAGGGAGACATGTTAAGATCAGTTAAACATAAGTATGGGCTGATATTCGCCCTGTTAACAAATATCGCCCCATCCGCAAATGATATGCCATGCACCAATTTCAGTGGTTGATATTTATCTGTTGTGTTGCATCAATTTAATGTTGACAAGCTAGTACCTAAACTAACTGCTGAGGTTTTTTTTTTATTGAACAGAAGAAGTCACCTGTTGGACAAAGATTTGATTTCAGTAAAGCTGACATTAAGAGTGAAGTGACATACAGATCAGGCCCTCCAAACTCACATTATACAGTATGATCAATATTATACTTTGCATACGTATGTACCTCGATCTTATCAATCAATTAAAAATGTTTTATTTATTTTTATTTTACCTTTTTTTATTCTTGAGAAATCATTGAGGGCAAGCCTTTACAATGACGTCAAGAGTACAATTAAAATGAATAAGAGACAAAAAAAAGACCAAAAACAACGAAGAAAAAATACATAGATTATAAGACCAGAAGAATAAGCAGTAAGCATGCAACTACAGTTAATAACATTTACACTCACGAGTACAGTGAATTGTGATCAAGTTTTTAAATTGACCTGGTGTATCTTTGGTAATAAAGTTAGGAAACACAATTGACCCTAAGCTCACATTTAAAGCAGTGTGAGAGTTCTCCTCAGACAGAGCAGAGAAAATGTGAACATGGACACACACAATTGTACTTACACAGTACTAAATACAATAGTGAAGAGATTAAAAAGATGCCTCAACATATAAACAGGACTTTACCTCAATTACTTCACTCCAGATGTTATACTATTTTATCCCTCTACTTGCTCTTTTTCTTTTTTAAGGACTACTATAAGATCATCAAGATCCCAATGGACATGGGCACGATAAAAAAACGTCTGGAGAACAACTACTACTGGAACGCCCAGGAGTGTATCCAAGACTTCAACACAATGTTCACTAACTGCTACATCTACAACAAGGTCAGCCGCTGCTCACGTGTCATCATGTGCCTCATCTGTAAAAAGACATCGTCTAAACATGTGCTTCTGTTGTGATTTCAGCCTGGGGACGACATTGTCCTGATGGCCAAGACATTGGAAAAGGTCTTTCTTCATAAGATCACAGAGATGCCGCAGGAGGAGAAGGAGATCGCTGTGGTCACCAAGGGACGCCGAGGGGGCAGACGGGAGACATGTACGTGTTTGTGATGTAATACAAGCTTCAAAATATCAACATTTGACAGTTTGTTCCTTTCAGTAGTGACAACGTGAAGGAGGTTGGGATTGGGTTTGTGTGTATTATTGGTATTTTCAATATAACGATGCATCAGCATGGGTTGCATCTTCAATTTTCTACATTACTGCACATGGCTACGTTTTCATCAATCAAGCAGTCAGATAAATGTCATTACAAATGTCATTACATTGTGAACCAAAAATAAATAAATGATAAACTGGTCCAACTGCAGCCGGCGGTTAACCAGTATCAATACCGGAACCGATACAAGATTCTGCCACGAGATGCATTTTTGCCATACCGTCATCCTCGGTTTAAACACACACGTTTGGTTGTAGCGCACACACACACAATACAACACGGATTGCTAAAAACTACGAGCTACAGTGGTGGGATTATAAAAGTAGCATTAAATGGTGATTCGTTAAATACAACGGCTCAGACTGAAACACCAGGCCCTTCTGTATGTCTAGCTGAGACTGAGAGCACAGCCAGCCGCTAACTGATCACAGGGCACCGCCTCCTCATCATGTCAGATCGAGTATGAGTGTTTATAATGAAAGTGAATTATTGGAGTCCTCCCCTCTCCCAAGTTGCAGCAAATAACAGCAACATTAAGTGGTTGTGTTCTCTCGCAGTGCATCTCTTTCAGTCTATTTGGGGCTTCTACAGGATATGTGCTGTAATGGATTTAAATCTTCATCACAGTATTTGTAAGCGTAATGAGTGTTATAACTGATGACTCACTTGTCCTCTGGTGTTTAATGTAGCCTGCTCATGCAGTTGTTGTTGATTTTTTTTTAAGGTAAACTTCTGCTGACAAAAATATTGAATGTAGAAATGTATTCTGTGTCCTGGCCACAGTTGCACTGTCACTTAGTAAGACACAATATGAAAGTTAACTTCAATTTGACTCATTGGGGGAGGCAAACATCTGTGATTGAACTGGTGTGAATTTTTTCTTTTTTTTCCCCCTCCTAACAGCTCTGATATCCAAGTCTGATTCAGGACAAGACTCATCCTCCCCCTCCACCACCCCCCATACAAGAGGCTTCTCTTCCCCTTCTACGACCCCACAGACCCGCGTCGTGCCCGCTGCCCAAGCCCCTCCCCCCCTGACCCTGCCTCCAGTCCTGCCCCTGGCCCAACCTCTGACACAGCCTCTGATCCAGCCTCAGCCCCCACGTGTGCCTCCTACACCCGCCGCCCATGCACCGCATCTGGGACCCTCTTTTCCCCTCTCAACTCCTGACGTCCTAGCACAGGGAATAACGTCTGTTCTCTCTTCGGCCTTGAAAAACCAAGGTCTCCATCAGGCGGCCCCGTTGCTGCAGAGCTCCCCCGCACTTGTTAAGGTAAGTAGAAGTCAGCAGCCATTTTTATGAACCACAATTTGATTTATCCATAACATCTGATCCCTGCCTGTTCAAGCATCAAAGGAAGAGCCAGAAGAGGAAAGCTGACACCACCACACCCACAGCCAACGACCAGCTCAGTGAATCATCTCCTGTCTCTGCTGAGACTCGGCCACGTCGAGAAAGCATTCGCCCACCCAAGCAACCCAAAAAAGAAACGTCGCAGCCAGACTCCCAGCACCACCTGGGAGGAGTTTTAGAGACCGGGGGGACTGTGACGCAGAAGCGACAGGACCAGATACGTTCCTGTGGACGCCTCGTCAAAGAGATGCTATCCAAGAAGCACGTAGGATATGCCTGGCCCTTTTACAAGCCTGTAGATGTTAAAGCTTTAGGTCTCCACGACTACCATGACATCATCAAACACCCAATGGACCTCAGCACCATCAAGGTGATTTTATTAGGTTTAATGAGAACAAGTGATAAATTGTTAGGTTTTTTTCATCAAACATCACCTTTACATAGACAAGAACGTCAAAATGTGTATTTATCCAGGCTCTGCATTTCTATTGCAGATATAAATTTAAAGCACCTTTCCATTCTGCTCATACAAATGATCATATGTATTAAAAAAAAATCCCAAAATAAAAATTGCGTTGTTTAAATAACTTCTGAAGTGTCAAAGAAGTATTTGGTTTATGTTTCTACACTTTCTTCATGGAATATCTTAAGTTCTGATGTTTAAGCAGAATTTGATGAAAAACATGTCAGTATTTTTTGCAGTTTTTTAAATTGATGACAGTTTCAGTGCTGTCATCTGTTATTATGGTTTATTAACTTGTATAACTTTTCAGTTTTGTTTGTACAGATTCATAGAATATTAAACATTTGATAACACCACATTAACTGATTTCACAATAAGCAGAAAATGCCAACGTAGGTACTAGTGCTTTATTTTCTCAGAGTTCAAAGGGTTAAATATTTGTGTTCATATGAATAAAAAGCATCCTGCTTGCTTTACTAGATACACTTTAGAGGGAACAACGGTATTTCATATCTTGAGATCTTTAATATTTGAGTTTAAAAACCACTATCCTTTCTACACAACTTTGTGTTAGACTACATCAAAGGATGAAAAGTGTTTCAATGCTGAAAGAATGGGAAAGTTTTAATCACAGCAGTGTTTTTCTTCTGTCTCCTTCAGAAAAAGTTGGACAGCCGACAGTACAGAGACGCTCAAGAATTTGCTGCAGATGTCCGGTTGATGTTCTCAAACTGTTACAAGTACAATCCCCCTGACCATGATGTGGTCGGCATGGCACGCAAATTACAGGTAATCAAACACATCGTATAGATTAACACATCCATGTATAGAAGACTGTATGACCAGGACTGAATACATGTACTATGGTACCCAGTAGAGCCCGATCGATACATTGGCCAGCCGATAAAATCGGCCAATATGCATCTAGTGACTATCGGAATTGTCTTATTTTTCAGCAGATATGCACCGATATTACTCGATTTATTTACCAGTTAAATAGCATTTCATATGACTAGCGTTGAATTATAGTAGCACTTCTGTTTCTGGCTGTCACCAGCAGAGTGTGCTATATGGATTACAACTAGCATTCAAACTCTCAACTGGCATGCACATGCCCAGTTACTTTCCAGTTGAGTGACCATGTTGTCTATGTTATGATGTATTTCATCCACAAGTGTTTGATAAAGATATCGGCTGATAAATCGGTATCTGATTTTTTTTCTCTCCAATATCGATATCGTAATCAGCCCAAAAAATGTCGGCCTGGCCTAGTGCCCAGGGAACGATGAACGTTGAGATAAGAGTAATGTCAAATAATTGCACTTGTCCTGCCACTGTTCAAGTTGAGCTCACTGTTGTCCTGCTATGCTTCTTTCCAACAGGACGTGTTTGAGATGCGTTTTGCCAAAATGCCCGATGAGCCAGAGGAGCTCGTCCCTGTTCCCACCCCGTCAACGGCCCTCCACCCTGCCCCCTCCACTCGACAAGTCCCGCCTCCTTCTGCCGTCTTTGAGGACGAAAGCTCCACTTCCTCTGAATCGGAGTCCTCGGGGGGAGACTCGGAGCATGAAAGGCAACAGCGATTGGCGGAGTTACAGGAACAGGTTAGAGGATGGAAAATGAAGGGGGAGGGAGGCTAATGAGACACGACAGGTGGGTGGGCCATGCAGAGCAGCTTTACCGACTGTGGGTGAACGCTGAAGCTCCAAGAAACAAATTTGCATGCTACTATCTCTTTGTCCCATAAGATCACAACGCTGACTGTGTGTGTTTGTGTCCTTTAGCTTAAAGCCGTTCATGAGCAGCTGGCAGCTCTTTCCCAACCTCCAGTCAGTAAGCCCAAGAAGAAAGAGAGGGAGAAGAAGGAGAAGGAGAAGGAGAAGGAGAAGAAGAAAGAAAAGTACAAGAAGAAGAGTGGACCAGAGGAGCCTGTGGAGAGCCCTCCCCATGTGACTATTCAGACTTGTAAGAAAAACAAGAGCAGCAAGGAGCCAATAGTTACAAAGAAGGAAAGGAAAAAGCCTGGGTGGGTATTCCAGAAGTAGAAAGATAAGTGATGTTACTGTATCCACGTTATCAGGAGTTAATCTTATTCTTTTGTCATTCTCAGTAAGAAAGAAGGAGTTAAAAACAGCCGCCCAGCTGTGGCCCTTCCACCCGGGCCGACCCCTCTGGTCCCTTCGGCCGCTCTTGAAGCAGAGGATGACGTGGGTACGTGTGTTATAGAGATGCTAACATAACGGTTTATGTCCTAAACAAGGGCCCAGTATTAACCTGCTGTCATTCTTCCCTCTGCAGATGTGTTTGGGGCGGGATCCGCTGAAAGGGGCAAGCCGATGTCGTATGAGGAGAAGCGCCAGCTGAGCCTGGATATCAACAAGCTGCCCGGTGACAAGCTGGGCCGCGTTGTGCACATAATCCAGACACGAGAGCCATCACTGAAGAACTCCAACCCAGACGAGATAGAGATCGACTTTGAGACCCTGAAGCCCTCCACGCTGAGAGAGCTGGAGAAATACGTCTCCAGCTGCCTCAAGAAGAAGAAGAAGCTGTCAGGTAGGCTGTTTGGGTCACAGTTAATTAACTTTCACTCTAAAACCTTTTTTTTTTTTAATTTTCTGATTGTTGTGTGTTTTGTTGAGCAGAGAAGCCTTCGGAAATGTCAAACATGACAAAAGTGAAGACCGAGACATCATCTTCTGGCAGCAGCGACTCCTCTGATAGTGAAGACTCTGAGAATGGTAACAGTCATACTAATCATTAGATCATTAGACTCTGGTAATGGTAACCAATGTTTTTTTTAAATTTTATTTAAGAACTACTACCTGTGATTCCTTCATATGTGTTACATTACACACATCATAGTCTTCATTGAAAGGCTTTATCAGCAGGAAAGTTATACTGTACAACAATATTTAACTCAAACATGTCTTTGTCTTGCAGGGCTGGTTCCCAAGCAGCAGAAGAAGAACTCAATTAACAGAGATGCAAAGAGACCGCTACTCCAGGAGCTGAGCAGCGGAGTGGCCCCAGTTGTTCCACAGCCTCCCATTCAGCCTCAGGTTGTCCAGGCCAAACCACGATTTGTCCCTCCTCCCCCGGTCACCGTCTCTGGCCCGTCTCTGGACTCCCAGCTGCTGGGCTCTGGATTCGATCCCCTAGCTCACTTCATGAATCCTCACCTGGCGCAGTCCAACTCGGAGCCAAATCCGAACATTACTCCTGCCGGTGCCCCAGTCCCATCCCGCCCCCTCAACGCAAACACACCCACTGGCCAGACACCCACTGAGACGCACCCTTTCCTCAACCAACACCCCATCATACCTTCACCAGGTGTGTACACTGCAATAACACAACTCCTCTTTTTTTGTATTTTTTTAGACCTGGCAATGGATGATACTCTGAAAAATAATTTGGCGTTTCCCAGGGATCTCCCAATCCGATCTTTAAAAATGGAGACGGGTAAATCAGTTTATCTCACAGGTAGTGGATAAATTAGCAATATTGAGCCCTGTTCAGTTCATATTTAACATCAGCTAGGGCTGCAATATTATCATTTATATTATTTTTCATCAATATTGAAATCCCAAATATCAATCATACATTTGACATGCTCTTTAAAACAAATTATAAGGACTTATTATGAAGCAGACCAGTGTCACTCACTGTTTAGTCATGCAATTGTTGGCTGCAGTTGTTCATTCATGGCATTTCAGTCCCTATGCAACAGCTCATCCAAAGCCCTGCAAGCATAAAAATAGAAAAAACAATTCATGTCATTATGTAATGGGTTCATAACTAATGGAAGCAGCAGAAATAAACACTAAAAAAGCTACAGGTTCTAACAGTAACTCAGGTACTAGGCTGCCCTGAAGCAGCAAGAAGACATTCCCTTTAAACAGCAGCTAGGCCAAATGCAGCAAATATTTTGTTTTTTGAAAAAAGTAATAAATTAACAAATTAAAGGATGGATGCTGGATTTGTTTTCTATGTATTATAGAGCTGTTAAAGTGTCAGGTTTATAACTTTAGAGTACCTGAAGTGTTCACTGTGCAGCTGTACTATCAAGGAAAACAGAAGTATTGGAGCTGGACTCATCACCAGCAGATAACTATTAAAAATACCTCAAATTTAGATTGGGGTGAAATATCTGGATACTCTATGCACCTCAGTCAATCTTTTGGATCTACTGATTTATCATTCTTTTGAATTAATTTATTGTTTTGGTCTGTAAAATGTCCAAATACTGAGTATTTAAATTATTTTGTTTATTTTTTTCGGATCATTTCTCATCCTCTTCTTCTTGTATCGTTTGCAGCGATCCACAATGCTCTTCCCCCACAACCCTCAAGACCTAGCCACCGAGCAGCCCCACTCCCTCCTAAAACCCCCCAGCCTGCCCCATCATCGCTCCCCTCCCTGCCTCCATCGTCCTCACCTCAGCTTCAGCCCTCGCTTCCACTTTCCCTGCCCCAGCCCGTTCCCCGACCCCGCGTCCCTTCACCCCCATCCCACGGCATCTTGGGCACCCTCTCGGCACAACCGCCCCAAGCCCTGCTGGAGGATGACGATGAGCCGACGCCCCCCAGCTCTGAAAACACGCCCCTCAGTCAGGTTCACACCTTCCTGCAGTCGCTCCAGGTTCGACCTCCTGCGCAGACGCTACACACGCTCACTCATTCGCCCGTGCAGGGCGCCTCTCAGCTCATGCAGTCAATAAACGCACAGTCTGTGACCACATCGAACCCCACCCTGACACAAAGACACAGCTCGAGCCACGCACATATGCGACAGCCCTTCCCACATATGAACACGTCAACGCCACAGCAGCAGAAGGGGGTCGCCCTGCAGCAGAAGGTGCATCAGATGCAGCAAATTCAACAACATCTTTCGCCACGCATCAAAGCGGAGCCTTTTGTAGCCGGTAAGATATATAAGTCATCAAGATGTGATTTCTAAAAATGTAGATCTAAACCCCCAAGATGTTCTTAGGGAAAAGATGAACGTACTTGTTCTTCTAACTCGTCTCTTATTTAAAGTAAACACTGCTGTTAGGGATGGAGACCAAATAAAGTACACAACGACAAAGAGTCACAACATTTTCAAAACCAAACCAACATTTAAAGTATATCAACAGCAGCAGAAATAATTCAGATATAAAATCTCCTATGTTTCACACACTAACTAATCCTTGACTTCAATAAAGGTAGAGACCTTGTCAGTTTCTATGCTCCTTATATCTGGAACAAACTCCCAGAAAACTGCAGGTGTGCTGAAACTCTCAGCTCTTTTAAATCGAGGTTAAAGACACACCTGTTTACAGCTGCCTTTCATTAAACAATTTTAATAAGATTTTAAACTTTAACTCTGCACTGTAACTTTTAACTCTTTTTATATTTTTACTTTATTTATTTCAATTAATTTCATTTGAGTTATTTTTATTTGAACATATTTTCAGATTTAATAATTTCAGTGATTTTTAAATTTTCTATTTTAATGTTTCTTTTCTTTCCTCTGTCATGATGCTTTTGATGTTTTGTGTGAAGCACTTTGAATTGCCTTGTTGTTGAAATTTGCTATATAAATAAACTTGCCTTGCCTTGTTCGGAGGCAGAATGGTGTGGCAAAGTTGATCCGCCCCTGAGGCAGCATCGAAGGAAGTAACAGGCAGGGAGACATTGGCAATGTATAATGTTGGAGACAGGTGGGAAGGGTATAACAATGCTGTGTGTCTGTGTGTGTGTGTATGTGTGTCTGTGTGAAGATACACATCGTGCCTCTTGCGCTTCCACAATGCCAAAACATAATCCAAAACCACTCAATAAGACACCAGTATTGTGCATATGACACAATCTATAACAACATAAGCATAATAATGGCAGAACTTTGTTTTGGTGCTGCTTTGGAATATCAATCTAAAGAGGACTCAGGTGACATGTATTGAATCATACCAGTGTCTCACCATGTGTCGTGGAGAATGCCAGTTTTTCTCTCGTAAAACATTCTACCTGCAAAAGGTGGATGCAGCCAAAGATGCTTTATCTTGTGCCTCTTGCTAATTAGCTGGCCCTTTAAAATATTAAAGAACTTACAACTTTTAACAATAATCTGACAGAAGCAATGTTCCTCTTGTGATACTTCACTTCAGCATTCAGAATATTTGTTCACACAATGTGCTGTTTTGTATAGGTTTCTGCACATTAAGTTACATTTCCCATGGAAATAGTTCATGATATGTAGCATTTCTGCAGTAAGATAGTTGATTGTATCGTTTGTCTCCTGTGTTTAAGGTGGCCTGCGTGAAAGCCCTTCTCCCCTGATGATGCATTCTCCACAGATGCCTCAGTTCCACACAATGGGACAGCAGTCACCCTCACAAACAAAGAAACATGTAAGTGAGACACCTCTTCATTTGTGTTTGAGTGTCCTGACTGCACACGCCAGCACAGAAGTTGTAGTCATCTGGGGGTTTAGGCGAAATGGGTTCAAACAAAAGTCGTCATTTATAATGCTGAAATACATCTGACAGAGTTTCTATTTGAAGTCTAGGTTTTTGTTGTTTTATTTAGATTTATTTGAGGGCTTTTTGTGCCTTTATGGAAAAGACAGGTTAGTGGATAGTGGGAATCAGGGAGAGAGAGAGAGAGAGAGAGTGGGGAATGACATGCTAGAAACGAGCCACAGGTCGGATTCAAACCCGGGAATGCACTTTGAGGACCACAGAGCATAAGGCGCAAAACTAACCACTCTGCCACCTTTATCCAAATGTTCTGTGTGTCTCTCTGTAGGAGCAGAGATCCAACCTTGTCGGGGTCAAAGAAGAGAAACCTTCCCATTCGCCTGTTCTACCCCCCTCGCCCTTCAGCCCTGTCATGCGTCAAGACACACACAAACCTGACCACAAACACAGTAAGTGAGAAATGTTTACGTAGAAAACAATGACTCGTATCTGAAGCTTAAGAAGGTAACATTTAAGAAGCTTTTTGCCTGCATTTTAGCATCCAATGTTGAGCAGAATCAAGATTTCTCTTCTGTTATTTATGAATGTGATATGTGTGGAAAGGTTACCTGCAGTTTAAGATTTGCATAGATCTACAGCTGCTTTACAGAATGACACTTTTATTTAGGGTTAGGGTTAGTTTCCATGTGTTGTTGACCCCATTTCCCTCTCCTCAGGATTAGACTCAAAGTCGTTGGATAACTCTCGAGCTGGTTCCCGCCTCACAGACTCCCCAGTAACGCCTTGCCCTCAGCAAGACATCAAAATCAAACAAGAGCCCAAAACTCCTGTTGCTGCCAAGAAGACACAGGTATGTTAGATGAGACACTCTGTTTTCAATCTGTTTTCAGCCACATCACTCAGAAAATTCCCCAATCAGATCGGACATTTTTTCACACCATTCTTTCCCTGTTCTCTCCCAGGATGTGAAGTTGAAGAACATAGGCTCCTGGGCGAGCCTGGCTCAGAAGCCTCAGTCCACGCCAGCCTCCTCTGTGCGCTCCTCCAGTGACAGTTTTGAACAGTTCAGACGAGCCGCCAAGGAGAAGGAGGAGAGAGAGAGACAGCTGAAAGCACAGGCTGAGCAGGCCAGGAGAGAGCAAGGGAAGCTACGGTATGGGAGAGAGAGAAAAAGTGAAACAGTCATGAGTTACCAGTTTTTCAGGATGCAAAACTAGACTTGAAATAGAACGACGCAGACGAACAGCAGTCCACAATACAACGCTATCATGAGAGTTTTTAGCCTTTATAGCCAAAGAATCACAATATCAACAAAAGAACAGAGAAGAACATACTGGTGTACAGAAAACATAATGAAGCAGTTTAATTGATTTAATGGAGATTGCAACCTTCGCGTGCGCATATGAATCTATGAAATAATAATACTGGTAGAGGTCTAATAAATCTGGCATTAGTTGGGATATATTGGAAGATTTAACAGGCCAACTCCATCCGGGCTATTAAGTATTTTTTATTTTTTTTGCAGCCGTGACGATGATGACACCATGGAGCAGGCTCGTCGGGTGCAAGAAGATACCCGCCGTCGCCAGGAGCAGCAGTCACCACTGGCTCCCACACCTCCAGCTTCTACCCCACCTACTCACTCTCCACAGGCTCCGCCCCCTCCGCAACAAGCTCCGACTCCGCCCTCCTCAGCCGACCAGAGGGAGATGGCACGTCGTCGCGAGCAGGAGAGGCGCAGGAGAGAGGCGGTATGCATGAGAATAAAAACAACAATACCAAAACTCTGCTCTTTTTTGCTACTGATGTTGGTGCTGATCACCATGGGTGTCATAGCGGGGAGGAGAGGGGAGAAAGGGGGTCTCTTATCGGGCCCGAAATAGAAACATAGATGTTGTTTGGATTTGTTTCTCTGTAAATCATTACTTTCATATCAAAGGTAAAATAGGCCAAATAAATCAACATGCTTAAAGGTCCCATATTATGTTTTTTCTGGTTTTATATGCCCTTTAGTGTGTTTTCCAAGTGTCCTGTGCGGCTTCTCCTACGTCCTCCTGTTAGCTGAGCAAGGAGGAGCAGTACATGAAAACAGACACTTTTTTCGGACTTTATCTATTGTGAACGTACAAAAGTAGGTACATAGATTAAATATACGAACCCCAAAAAGGGCATAATATGGGATCTTTAACTCTTTCTTGACTCTTAGAATAAATAAAAATGGACAACCTTTAGATGATTAAAAAGAGGAGTCAGATACCAACAAAAAGCAATTCATTGATCATGTTTAAAGTATGTAGTATGTAACACAAAGTTATAATTAGAGTAGTCACTATACTGGAATTTTTAAACTGATATGATGCAAGTAAAAATCTAACTATAATACGATTCCTCTTTCAATAGCTTGAACCAAAAATAATAATACATTTTATTTATAGTGCTTTTAAGGAACTCAAAGACACTGTACAATAGTTCAATAGAAGTTCTGGGCACGCAATGTTGTTGTTTCAAGTATAGAATTTCAAGTAAACTCCTGCACACTGCATACATACATTGGCAACATTTCGGTACCAAAACATTGACGATGCCTTTGTTCAATTTAAACAGTATCAAGGGGTTTTACCTGGAATTTTTCCCGTGGGCTCATTCTTCTCTCACGCATGTGAATTAGACGTCGATTTTAAAGCCAAGCTGCAACTTTTTGACCAAATCTTTAATCAGAATAAAGAGAGATTGTTTCTTGTAAAAATGGTTGGTAACAAAAAGAGTTGAAGGATTAACATTTTGACGACCTTAACTAAAAGCTTTTAAATATAATGGAGGTGAGGTTATAGCAATAGTTGGCTGAAGATGTGGTGGAGAGGCCCGATGTGATGTATTATTGTGTGGCACCGAAATCCTGTCAACGCTGCTGCCGATCACTCTCATATTCTGAGTTGCAAAAGGGTTTGAAAATGTACCGATGGCATTTGCAAAATTCAATCAGGATGAGAAAGTAGTCTAGTTGGTGTATCTTTAAAATAAGTTTTTGAGGAATGGATCCTTAAACAGAGAGAAAGAGGAGGTAAAACGGCTTGTTTAAAGGCTTTATATGCGATTTTTTGATCCAGCAGATGTCGCCCTTGAGCACCAGCATAAAAACCAAAACAACTTACGGTGCATTGTTGTGTTAGCATGCTAATGCTAGAGATCTTTATTATGCTCCTATCTTCAAACTGCATGTAAATTTGCCCGAATTGAGCGTGATCTAGAAACACAGTTAAGCAGTGAGTACAGTATGTTATTCTTCTTTTCTCTAGTCCCTCAATTAAACAACTTTTATTCGCGAGGGGAGGAGCCAGCTGCCGTCCCGGCGATGTAAACAAACTGAAAATATGACTGAAAACATCACAGACAGTGGGACACGGGTGTTACACCCATTGTAGACAGTCATTACTCACAGAGTTATTTTAAGAGGATATACTTGATTTCTATTACATTTAAGTGTGAAATCACATATAAAGCCTTTAAGAACTGAAACCATGCAGAGTTACTCGAGTGAAGTGAGTGCCAGAATAAGACACATCGTAGTGAAGGAAATGATCACAATACAAACAAGCTTTTTAACAACAGTCTTTAATTCTATTTCTCTGTTTTCCTCTCTGCAGATGGACACCATTGATATAAACTTTCAGAGTGACCTGATGGCCATCTTTGAAGAAAACCTGTTCTGATCAGGGAAATGCAGACGGTGGGAGTGAGAGAAGGATCTTTGGACACACATTTACAAACATGCATATAAAACCACAAAGCTCTGAAACACAGTCACTGCTCTCATACACACACACACACACACACACACACACACACACACTCATGTAAACACAGACTTGGTAGTAGCTGTCCCTTTCTCTCAGTAGTTGAAACAGCTGGCTTGTGTCATGTGAATGAGAGGTGAGGGAAGTGACATTGAAATAAGCAACCCTCTTTCTCCAATGTCGGATACGTTTTGGTGTCTGGCTTGGTGTTCATGGTTGTTGGACAGTGAAATCATCAGATAGTCAGCTCCCTCAAGGAAACATACAAGAAAAGCCGAATAAAACAGAGGGGACAGAACTTTTACATAGAAAATTAATTGTTTAATTTAAGGAAATCTATGAAACCTTGTTCTTTAAATTTGTGAGTGGAGAGAAGGAGGTGGAGAAAGGAACAGGCGAACAAATTTACAAACAGACATCACTGTTTTACTCTTTTTTCCTAATCTCTTTTTATTTTTGGATTTTAACCGATGCTGGTGGGCTCTAGTCTGTCGGGCACCTGAGAGTGGGTTGTTTTTCTCTCAGGACTCAGTGGGAACGCAACACACACGGCCACATACATTTTCTGATCCACCCCTCCTCCCTTCACTTCTCCTCTCTCTCTCTCTCTCTTCAGTCAATAACTGGAGGGATGGAGGCGTCACTGATACTCAAATATTCGATGGAGATTAGGAAGGGGAGCGGTCGTTTAGAACGTCTCAGAGTTCGTCCTTTGCCTTAGCGCTCTGGCCTGTAAACTAACAATCGTACCCAACAAATTATACATATTATATATATGAATAGATACATGAATATATATTATATACGACTTAACGTCAACGCGAAAGAGCATGAGAGAAATTAGGATTTCGGGGGGGAGCAAAGCTCGCCTCTTTGTTCATCTCGGAGCTCTGGTTTTGATTTTGTAGAATTTACTGTAAAGAAGAAGAAAGAACTTTTTTTATAATTCTATCAAGAGGATTGTTTCATCTGTTTTATTCTCTCTCATACCTTTTTTGTTTCTGTTTATTTCTTCTCGACTCTATGCCAAAACCAATCTATTGAGTGCTGAAAGTTCATTCACATTTTTTACGTTTTAAGATGCATCTTCTTTTCACTTTATATTAAAGGCTACGTTTTTATCGCTATTTAATTATTCCTTTATCCCCTTTTCAATCTGAAATTATGCAGAAGTTTGCTCTGTGATAGTTTAAAGAAGATCATTACTGTATGTCACTACTCTACTTAAACCCCATCACTATGTGTACAATATCTGCACTTAAATTGTCATTACTTGCATCTTTTTTTTTTAGAAATGTCCTTTCATCATGTACATGTTTTTAGTCTTTCTAAGCGTCTTATCCTTCAAACGGCTTCACTCTGTCATAGGTTCTTGTTTGTCATCTTCCTGTCTTTTATTTTGAAAATCTTTCATCGTCCATGCTAACTCATTTGGGATGTTGTGTGCCATTGTGTTTTTGTGGAAGCAGGACATTCGCCTGATTTTCTTAGGTTGGCCCTGAGATCTGAGTGTTTTCAATTCTTTAATTGCTTTTTTTTTTTTAATGTTACATTTATTTCTTTTCCCCTTTTCATATTTGATTGTTTTGAGGTTTCCCCCCCCCCTTTGCTATTTTACCCAGAACAACCTGTTGGTATGTTGGTGAGTGAGGCATTGAGGTCAATAGATTCATCTTGTTCAGATCATGGAGTACAGCATCTTTTTTTAAGAAAAGTATTAAAAAATAATGTGAAAAAAAATTCTGAAAAACTGTTTCTGGTCGTTTTTGTCTCCTAGATCAGGATGTGTCTACATGCATTGAAGCTAGATCTATATAAGAATCTGTTTTATATCGAAACCTTTTATTTACTTAATGAAGGACTGCTTACTTATCACTTGACAAGCTATCAAACAGCCATGCTGCGTTAATATTTCTGCCATGAGCGGCATAATGAAAGACTGTAGGACTGCATGCCGAGACACATGAAAGCTGTAACTACAATCAGGGTAATTCCCACAAATGAACCCTTTCCAAGTTGAATCATTAGTATTGTTTGTTTTTAATGAACATGATTTTAGTTATTCATTTTCATGTTCAATTAACTCAAACACTAACCTTTAAATAGTACAGGGATTTAAGTTCTCTGATGCTATGGCGGATTTTACAGCAGTTTCGCAATTGTAAAGATATTTTTAGTCAGTCAGCCAGACAAAAAGAAGTCGAGGACAATTGGCAGAGTCTGGGATGGAGACATAACTTCGGAGGAAAATTGTGTTTTTTTACTGTCAGGCATTAGTCAGAATCCCACAGAGCCCCTGACATCACAAAAAGTACAATTAAAAAAATATAGATATATTTTTATTTATATCTCTTATGCCCACAAGTAAATTTTTTCTTCTTGGGGAGAATTCTCCAAACCTCCCTACAAACATTTTTTTTGTACCTTGTCTTATTTTTCACCTCTAGAGTTTTCTGAAGACACTACCAGCTGACAGTTAATGTGTATAGGCAAACAATCGTCTTGATTGTAGGTCAACTCTTCAAGCATTCACATGTTAAAAGAAGCCACAAGTGAAGTCATATCTGGTACCATAAATCTCGACTTTTAAATAAAGAAAAACATGACCATTTAAAATTACAGGGGCCCAGGGTAATTTGTTTTATATGTGGAGAATTTTCAGTCAATTTATACAATATGTCCCTGATAATAGAACCAGAAAAAAAAAATTCTAGTAGTATCTTGTTTTTTTCTAGAGCTGTCATTCTCTTTATTTCTGTTGTTCAATTGTTGAGCCTTCTTTCAGCCAGCAGGGAGCACTATAAAGAAAGAAGAGGTCAGGTAAAATGGGCTCCAACACACTGGTATCTCTTCTGCATACTGTTCTGTAGTATTGTTGAAAGATCAGAAAGAGTTATGCAATTGTTGAATTTGTTTTTACCATATATGTTGTTTTTCTTTTATTATTATTTAATCCATTTATCATTTACTTCATATAGTTACTTTTTCTTTTATTATTATTTAATCCATTTATCATTTACTTCATATATTTACTTCTTTTATTATTATTTTCTTTATCATTTATTATATAGTTACTTTTTCTTTTATTATCATTTAATCAATTCCTCATTTACTTCATATATTTACTTTTTCTTTTATTATCACTTAATCTTTTTATCATTTCATATGTCATATAGTCACTACGACATTTGGTTTTTTGGCTTTTATATTTCCTGTCAATCCTACGCACAACCACGGTGCCTATGCACCTGTCAGAATAAATGTGCCATACATTGAGCAAAACTACATACGAGCTCATAGGTGTATAGAGTTTCTGCGAATCTGCCTCGTTCGCGGTCTTCAAGCTTAAACCACTTTTGAGACCAAGATCTATTAAAACCTCAAGTGTCTACACTCTCGAGTTTAGACTTTGGTCTTTGTGTTTTGCTTTTACTTTTTACATTTTTATATTTTTACTTTTACTGTTTTGTATTTGCATTTGGAATATAATTTGAATTTTTTAAATAGATTTTCAGAAACTTCTTGAAATCATTTTCTGACTGAAATCACTCACACCCCAAAGACCGGAGTCTCCCTTAAGGACCCTGTGAACCTCGGAAGGTAAGCTTGAGCAGTCACACCACGGCACACTTCTACTGACTTTTACTACACACCTCATACACACCTAGCATCCTAGTGGGGAGAGATTACAGTTATTCCCTCTCCGGGGATGCGAGCCTCCGGGGGGTAATCTAGAGTCCTGTACCAGGGGTTATTCTTGTTAGGCAGATAATCCGAGGGCTATGTGATAATAACAAGTCCTTTCTCCTCCAAAGGGTGTTAGCGGAGTAATTTTACATAGCTCCAGGTACTAGGAAAGAGTAGACTAGCGGCTGGTAGGGAGTGAGCTCTAGGAAAGAGTAGTCTGGTTAACTAATGGGTGGTGAGCTTCCTTTAGCTATAGTAAAGTTATTCACCCCTTTTTGCATGTCCAGGATATGTCACAGTAGACACCATCATTCGTTTGTCTTCAGATGTTCAGGCTCTTTTCAGGGACACGACCGTTTACTGTTTCAACATCATGATGAGCCTATGCACATGAGACTGGTCCATATAGAGCATAGTTTTCCCAGTTTGCTGTGCAAGGATTAATCTGTACGAGAGCCCTGACCTCTATCTTAGACTTTGGGATGAGCTGAAGCAGAACAGAATGAACATCAATGTCAAGCTTCACTAAAACTGATGTAGGCAGATCTCAAACTGTGATGCAGAACCTTTCTCTTAGGAGCAGAGGCAGTTACTGATAAGTTGCCATTATTGAGTATTTCATTGTTTATTAGTCCACATACATACTTTAATAACTTAAATAAGAAGTGCTCTTTAAACTTATTAACAGTGGCAATGGTTTTTGTTCTTTGTAGTGTACAGCTTATAATTGGACACTGTGGAAACTTCAGAGTGATAAAAAAGTGACAATATCTCATTCAGGTTTTGTTGCAATGGAACTTTTTAAAAGTCGTGAAGTGGTATCGTTTCACAGAGACAAAAAATAAAAAAGAAAGCAATAAGTCAGAAACAAGGCGCTGTTATGGCACAATTTTATCGTCATCACAGTATGATCATCTGCAACAAACACATCGCAAAAGCCTGAATTTATCTCAATAAATATGAAACAATACAATACAAACAGGTATTATACTGCCTTACACATGATTTGTATATTTCACCTTTTGAATGAAGGCCTGAGAATAATTGCCATGGGTTCTCACCAATGCCAATTTCACATGTGGGCGACTGTGAAAGATGTTCTTCTACAACAAACACACAGAGGATGTGGTTAAGAGCAGTTCAAACTGGCAGCAGATACAAACTTTGTCAGTCATAGATAGATAATACTGGACTGAAAATTTGCCTTGCCTCACAGTGGCTCTGTTTGCGACAGTTAAGACAGGAAACAAAGATATGATTTTACACAGGCAAAGACAGTTTCAACACACACATTGCTTTGCATTTTAGAAGTATCCTCAGACATCTGAGTTGTTGGCACATTCACTGCTGACACGCACTTAAACTGTGTCTCCTGTGGCCTTGAGCACTCTGATGGTATGCGCAGTTCACTGATAAAACTGCTGCTGCTGTGGAGAGGATCTGTCCTGTTCATGTGTTCTTTATCTTATCCAAGAAGCTTTTCCGCTCTTTGACTTTCAAATGAGTGCCTTTGTGTTTCTTTCTTGCAGAATTTCACTTTTAAAATCAAACCCGGGGCAGTACAGAAACCTAAAACATTTCTAAAAAAAACCCAGCTGAGAGGGGAGGTCAGTGAAACTAGTTGTTGGAAAACTGCCGAGCATTGCTCTGAATTTATCAGGTGAGGATGAGAAAATGCCAACATGGAGATAAGTCATGTTGCTGATAATGCTGAAAAAGGCTTCTCCCTTACATAGATAAGATTGGCACAAATACACAGCACAACATTTATAGTCTGGGAATAGTAAAGACTTGAGCATTTATGGCAAAGCAGCTTCCTGGAAGTGAGAGTGAGAAATGGAATCTGCTCTCATTACTGGCTCAATGAATGAAGAAAGGGAAAAATGAAAACACAGCCTTTGAAAGTAATAAAGCAGAAGAGGAGGAGAGGTTAATGAATAGCTCTGAAGGAATGAGAAACATTAGTTACTACTCCATGTGGCAACAGATTCTGGAGAGTGGGCTCTGAGTGTTTATGGAGAGGCCTTTTGATCCTCTTTAAAGAAACTCAGCTCTTGACCTGCTTTCTTTTTTAACTTTTTTTTTTTTTACATCCACCATTGTAGGAAGAACATATATTCACATGTATCATTAGACACAGAAATATATTTAATCAAAGTTTTGTTTAATGACCCTGTTTATTTTTTACTCTTACACATTTCAGACTGTATGAGGAAAAAACCCAAATGTAGCTAAATGATTTGTACTTGTTACTCCATGTCCGATGTTGAATATCTAGAGGTGGAAAAGGTGCAATAATACTGTACTCAGGTGAAATTAAAGAGCAGTTGTACTTAAGTAAAAGAATAACCACTGGTCTACATAGCTACATCAATAAAAGTAAAAAGTTATTTATTTAAAATGTAATTACAGCGTTGACTTTTTGAATCCTGAGGTGGGGTTGATAAATCAAAATATGATATCAATTCAATAACACTGTATGGATGTAATATGAAATCATTACTCTTGTTATGATCCTGAGCATTTAAACAGAAAGATGTACATGATTTATTTCACAAGTAAAAATGTAGCTCTACTGAAATATTAGCTTTTTTTTTTCTTTTTTTTTTTAAAGGTGGATTCTTGCTCCAGAATAGAGATTTAGTTTCTCCTTTCATGTGTCTTCATGTCCCTCCTCAACATTACCAGGCTTTTAGCTGGGTCCACGTTTCTGTCCCACCCATCCATTTTCATCTTGTGATCTGAGCATCAGCTAGTGTCTTCTTCTTCCCCTCCAATCTATCCGTGCTCCTGTCCGTCATGTTGTGCAGGTAAGCCAATCAGCTGGCCAGCTTCTAGGAGTAGATTTGATTTCCTGGTGCCTTTTTAGTTGTTTTTTTTACTCAGTAACAAATGCTATTTAAAATAAAGTGAAGTACAATACTTCCCCCACATATACAGATATATAGTATAAGTATAAGTAAGTATGAGTATAAGAAACAAGTACTCTATTACAGAACATGAGTAGATGTGATTTTTGACTTTCCACCTGGTGAATATTTCACATAAACAGAGGTGGAGAGTAAATAATAATAATAACTTTATTTAAATAGCACCTTTTAAAAACAAGACATTACAATCATGTCTTCAACACCTTTTACACCAATCAGTGTAAAGATTTAGAAACAGAAACACATGCATGTAAAACGCTAACTGTAAGATTTAGAATAATCCCACAGTTCAATCAACACCCCCCCAAAACAAATTACTTTACAGCCTTTTTTATGGACGCTTTAAGGGCAGGGCAGTTGTGTTAGACTAGTGAGGTGTTCCAAAAAAAGTTGCTGTCTCTTGTCTCTTCCACATCCTTTTGGAAACTAAAACTTGAAACTGAAAAGTTGAGGTTTAGAGTTAAGAAGAACCCTTGCTTTTGAGATTGATTCTCATGAAATGATGTGTCATGAAAAGACGGCCCTGTCATATTTTAAAGCTCACGTAATTTCCAGAGCAACATTTTTTATTACTTTCTCTAGAAAACGAAATCAGTAACGAAAATGAATCTGATTTCCTGGAAATGAACGTTTACGTTGCTGCACTTTGTTCCTGCTGCTGCAAACAAAACCGGTCTCTTGAGCTCTAACAGGCGTGACTTCACAGAGGACTGCTTCCACTCAGAGATACTTTTCTTGGGAATTGTGATGAAGTCAGTAAAAAAGTGTGCATTTTAGTGAAGTGAGGATGAAGGGGTTCTACAAACACACAGCACCAGATGCCAGGAGCTCATACTGCACATACATGGCTTTCCCTGCACTCTCACATTGAGTAAGAGCTGCTGCTGTCTTCCTGTTAATGGCATTGAAAGCGGTCGGGGGTGGAAATCAGCGATGAGGGCAATCATTGGGACATCAAGGCTCCCTCCTAAAAAATCGAAGCCAGATGACAGTAAAAAGCTCCACATGGGATTTGTGCACACGAAAACACTTACAGCCACAATCCAGACTTGAACACATTGCACAAGACCCCACATGGTTCTGACAAACACGCACACTTTCCGAGTCTTGCTGACACACTCGGTTTCTCACACGCAACTCTCTACAATGCTCTGGATCTGTGTTTTATGGTGCACATGGCGGCGGCCTGTGGAAGGTGATCTGGCTGTCATGAAGTTGTTTACTTGTTGTCCTGCTCAGTGTCTGTAGGTTTAATCACACACTGGTTCAAAATAGACACGCCCTCCTCAGTAAATCACTCACTCATTCCTCCATTGTTGTCTTGGGATGCACACGACATTTCCTTTTTCCTCCTTTCTCTCCTTCCTGTTTGAAAATAAAGCTTCCCTTAGTCTGTTTTAGAAACACAGCGGTCTTTTTAAAGAATAACCTTTTGGCCTTGCATTGTTACTTTGTGACCCCCATGTTGCACAAATAGCACCAGATGGCTAGATAATCTAGTGGTTTGGATTTTCCAAAAAAGGATGGTAAGTGAATTAAAGCCTTGTAAAAAGATAAACATCACAGCAGAGACAACCTGACATTGAAAGGTTGTCTTGACCTTGGATTCAAGTAACCAGACTTTATCGTATTGAAGTTGCTTCCACACTAACATCTCTCTGTTCTCTTCTCTACTCTACCCACCGGCCTCCACCAACTGGTTTGCTTTACACTTCAACACTACACTCATCCGGACATTGCTGACTGATTAAACAGATTTACATTACTACTTTGGTGTATAAAAAATGAACTTCCTTTAACCCTTGTTTCATGAGTGATACCCTTCTTTGTCACTTACTTTGAGCGGTTTGTTACAACAAACAAGAAGTCAGTAAAACAGTCTCATCAAAGTTTACTCAGTGGCAGCTGTTGGCCTCACAAACGTTGGTTCCATCCATGGTTCTTTGCTCAACACATTTGCAGTTCTGGAGAAAGTTAATTTATATTGTGTATATTGTTTATAATAAAACGACTTTTCATTTCTTTGCACATTTCCCGGGACAAATACCATGACTCAATCCAAGAGTAAACAACATTATCACAGGTACTGTAACTTAAATGAGCAATGGTTAGTGGGTTAGTAAACGTTTGCTACAGTTGCTGCTGCAAAGCTTGTGGTCAACCAGCTCCTGAAAGCAATGTTCACAAATGTTCTGCTATTCTAGCTGACATTTAAACAACAACAAGAATTTAGGAAATCTACTCACAATGTGCTGTTATTGGCTAGGAGAGCAAATAGGTATATAAGTCAAGTTCAAGATTGTACCCAGGAGACTACCCTTTGTGTCTCATGTTGTTCTTCTGGGTGAGACAAGTACACGGCTCTGTGGTGAAAAGACTTCTCAGCAAACTTCTAGGCATCAGGTACAAAGCAGCAACAGGAAAGGAGGGCAGGATAAGGCAGTGCTCCCTTGGTGGGAAGTGTAAGCCTTTTTCTTTTACTATTTACTTACACAGATTTATGTACAAACAACTGTATTTTACACATAGAGAAAGACTTCTTACTGTGACGATATTTGCCAAAGTAGAAAAATGTGCACCTTCAAACTATTTGGACAGAAATTAATATCCGTGATATTCAGATCGAAAAAGTTGATATATACTGGTACACTTTGAAAAAAGCCAGGGCTTAGAGGCTAAAGAAATGAGATGTAAAACTTTAATAGTTCTAATGGATCAATGCGGGGTGATTTGACATTTTTGTGTATTTTTCCAGGTCTGCTTTTGGTTTGGTGCTTGTGTTTTTTCTTTCAGAGGCTTATTGGCTGCTGGAGCTCTCTGCAATCACTCACCTGATCATCTGTAATCACCGGCTGCAGCATTTAGACCCTGGTTCACCTCTCCCAAACTGCCAGATTATTTCCGCCTACACTGTGGTAGATCGGCTTTTCAGAATCAGTAAGACTTTTTGTACTTTGGAATTACCTGTGACTAATTATTCCCTTGTCTTCTTTATTCCCCAGTGCCTCCAACCAACGAGCTCCAGCGCCTCACCACCCAGCCTCTCATTCAAGCCTCACCAGCCTTCACCAGCCTCACCTCAATAAATACCCCTTTTACCCACCACCCTGTTTTCCGGTCTTGCTTTTGGGTCCACTTAAAACCTTTTTAAGGTCATAACACAATGGTTGAAATGTTCAATGTCTGCCATTTCTAAGTTGATCCAAATTTAACCCTTTCAAGATAATCTAACCATTATCTATTTACATATACTTGCATTTATACAGAGATGTGTTTCTATTCAATCTTCATCAAAATGAATAGCAATACCTGTCAGTTTAACCCTATATATTTATATACAAAGTTATTGATCAACTATATACTTTGGTTTCAATTAGTTTGTTTAAAAGCAGAATCACTTTTATTACTGTTATTTACTGGAGCTCTCAGCACTAAACATACACGTATCTTTTTTCTTATCATCTTTACATTTTAGGTTGAACCACTTTAGTATGACATACATCCTGTTATATTGAAATGAAACAGCATGTCATCGGGCGTGAACACAGACACAATGACAGACTACAGCACTTCAAGCCAAATGATGACTTTTTTTCCCCGGTTTAAAGTTAAATAAAAATATTTTGGACACAATGATTTGTTACAGTTGCTGTCAACTCTGATTGGATCATATTGATCAATAGGTAAACAAACACTGTTCCCTTGCCACTGTTGAATGTTCACTCAAATCAAGAAAAACTGCATCAGATGTGATAGACGGTGCAATAAGAGAACATTGTAATTGAATAGTCTATGTATCTGGCCTGCTGCTGACCCTGGTCTGGAAAGCATTAGGCCCTAACATGAAAGATGTGTGTGGACATGTCCACACACACTTGTTATACAGGTGAACAAGGCATGGAGAGCAATCAGCATCCTCGTCTCCATGGTGACAGCATGCTCAGGCTCCAAGCAGATGTCTGCGATGCTGAGAGGGAATAAGAACATGGAGAGGCCTGATACAGCAAACTGGAAACTCTGACCGCTGAAACACACACTGTGACACGCAAACATGCTTGTAAGGAAAGCAGATTGTTCATGTTGGACAAACACCGCTGTCACATCTCTCACACGCTAACCTCCACGAGCTCGGCCATTATTGTAAACAGGAAAGTGTGTTAGCTTTTTCCTCACCCTGCCTCTTCACTCCTTGCCATCTATATCATCTCCTGCCATTTCATCTTCCTGTTATTTCCCCCTTTATCTTTTCTCTCATTTTGTCTACTCATTTTCATTATGGTTTTTTTTTTCAACAACTGAATTTAAAAATTATCACCTGAAGAAGACCTCTGGTCAAAACGTAGTGATCAATAAACCTTTTTTTGCGGCAATTGAGCAAGTGTGCGTCCTATCTTCTGTCTCAGTTTTGCTATTTTTGCACTGCCCTGCACCAACGTGATCTGCGTGTAACTACTTATTTTTCTAAACAACCGAAGTACCACTTTATTGAAGAAATGTTGTGCATATAGCTCCGCCTACGCTGCAGGTCGATCCCCGTTAGTACTGCATCAAACTAAAGACAAAACAAAACAACCAAAGACAGAATCATTTTTGTCTCTGAAATACTTTATTTGCAGTTTTAAACTTTTAAATGACAAAATACATCAAAAAGACATAAAAGACTTTGCAAAAAAATATCACTCCAAGTATTATACAAACAGAAAAACTGAAGTATTTTTTAAATGTTGTCACAGTACAGGAACAAGGTCAAATGAATAAATGAATAAATAATATTGAACAAACATTGCATAGCCAATAAGGTTGTATGCTACAATGCGATGCAATATGTTACGTAACGATGCGATATGAGGTGAGATGATACAATATGATTCAGTGTGGTATAATGACATGGTATATAATACAATACGATACTATACAATCATTACAATGCGATAATATAGATATGATACCGTGTGGTAAGTTGTGGTTTGATACGAAAAAAACTAGGCTTTATGTCAGGGTAATATGTGTTATGATACAAAGTTGAATCATTAAAGCAACTGGACTTGATTTACATTTTCAAAAAGAATTTGCCTCTCAACCGAACAGCTCCTTGAGAAGCCAGAAGACTCTCCCCCTGCTGGTTGTTAGAAGTAATAAAAATAGATCGAAGAAACTTCTACTTTAGTCGAGCAATTGAGCAATTGAGCAGCGCATGACAGATGGGTTTGGAATCCTTCAGCAGGACCACACTTGTTGTGTTCAGGAAAGAAATGGGTGGCTCAGTTTTGTTTTTTTTAAGTGTTGCATTGTTTCAGACATTGGTTTGATGTTAAACATCCTCTCTTGACTCTGCCCTCTCACTGCTGATCTATGCTGCCTGCAGGCCTCGTGCCCTCATCCTCTGAATTAAAGATGAGCCTGACAGCCCATTGTTTCTGGTGTTGTTTCTGCGGCTGTCACTGTCCTTATTGTCAAGTACAGAAGATTTGCTTTTGATAAGACAGAGGACAGAATACCCAATGAAGGTTTGGGATTTGGAAGGTTTCCAAATGTTTCTGTATTTGTTTTGGAATTGAATATGCAGGATTGAGTGTACTTGTAGAATAGTTAAGACCCATTAACAGCTTCTCTCCCTGGTTGTTTAATAAAATGGGACTTTATACACAAATGTGAAATCACTTTTAAGACGACGGCATCCAAGTTTGAACCAGATATTCTGCTACAGAGGAACAATGTTGGCATAACAATAATCTCCTGACACACAACAACCTGCACAAATCTCATCCATACAATGGCGGAAAAAAAATGAAGGGATTCGAACCATGAAATGGATTAGTCATGCTTTGCACTGAAAGAAAAGCAGAAACTGCAGCTGCTAGGATGGAGATTTTTTTTAAAAAGACTAAAAAGTGTATAATGGTCTCTCACAGTGTAAAGAGACCACTCTATACTGTAATGTAGAACGCTCGAGAAGAATACTAAGCTAATGTTTTGAGGTACCGGCACATCAGAGGGTTGTTTTCATTCTTTGGGGACTTTCTACCCATTAGCTTAAAGCAGAGGCAGTAGATTTAAGAATTTAAGGCATTTCCCCTTTATTCAATCTGCAGTTGAAAGATGACAGACAGGAAACATGGAGGAGAGACACAAACACAAAGGTCCACAGCTGGAGTGACTGCAGTCACGTATGTGTAAAACATAAACACAAGTGAAAGTTTTGGTTAAGCTGAAGATTTGAAAATAGCTTGTGAAACTTGTAAATATACTCACATCTTTTCTTGGGTGTAAAATAATACATCAAAATGTATTTTTTGACTTACTGTTGTATTAATCGGACCAAGAGAAGCAGTTAAGATTAACAAATTAGATGGAATGTAAAATGTAAAGTAAGGCACAAATTCCTCAAAAGTGGCGCACACTGCCTAAAACTGTTATTTGATCAATTATGCTCATGTTTTTAAGCTCTTGTAAGAATGTGTTGTTAATTTCCTTGTACTTCAAATAATCAATGAAAAAGTGAAAAAAGGTTAGGCTAATTTAGTTGTTTTTTCAGTATCCTTACTTGCCTTGGCCATCAATGATTCACCTCCCACCATGTCAAAATCCTACAGAAGATATTCCCTAGTCGTTCTGTCAATCAACCTCAGCTCCACTCACTGTTATTGGCTGTTTAACCTCCTCGTCAGCTAGGGGGGGAGGATACCACGCGCTCAGGTTGGCAGAAGCCGCATACCAAATATCTTCAGCTCGCTCCTTTGTCACACACAGAGGCAGCAGCAGCAGCGCCTTATCCGTGCCGCACCCATTCTGCTCCATTGCGCGGATCACTGCGCGCAGGTAACAACCGCCTAAAAAAACGACACTTTTTCTGAACGAAGTTTGACTCATTGAGGACGGAAACAAATGGCTGAAACTGAGCCCTGATTGAAACAGATTTAGAGACACAATAGGCTAAATTATTTTTTTCATCAGTCGCGTTTTACAAAAAAAAGGAGTTCAAAGTGCTCGTGGAGGTGACCTCAGGTAGACTGCGTCCCTACTCGACGAGGATCTGGATTTACTTGGCAAACGAGTTCGTATTCACAAGTATCCTAAAGGTGAGTTACGATTGTTCTCCCTCTTACAACGCTTTCTATTTGTGTCAAATGATTACAGGCTAATTTTTGAATGTGTGAAGTTGGAGAGGCTCCGTATAGGCCTACAGCAACAGGTGTGTTTGTGTGTTTTTGTGTTTTTTTTATTGTTCGTCTTTCGAAATGTTTCACTATGCCTATGCTAAGACATCTGCCCTGTCTCTGAAGTCTGGAGTTCATTACAGCTTGAACATCCCCATCACTGTCAGTTAGATCATGCCCTTTCTGAGAAATGATGACATGTTTTAATCCTACAAAGAGATTTGTGTCTCAAGAAGGGCTGTGTTGTTTTCTTCAACGCCAGATTGAAGATAAAACATTTGCAGTGTACTGCGTGAAGAAAGTACATGGCCTAGTTTACCGTCATCATGCTGTAAAATGCAGGTTACAGTTTAGAGAACTGTAAATTGACAAAATATGCCCCAAATAGTCAAATAACATGGTAAGCTTTTACAGTCAACATTTCATAGTGCAGGAGTTACCTGTACTGTGAAATGCAATCCAGAACAACAGTCCTGTTATAAGTCTTTGTGGAGTTTGTGAAGTCCAAGTTTTGGTTACATTGTGTTGACTAATGGCGGTGTCTGAGGTTGTAAATACTAGTCAGTTGTGTTGAACTAAGGTAATATATTTTTTTTTTTACATTAACAGTCATCAGGGGTCATAAAACAGTCTAACAGGATGCAATAGCCTGTATAATAATTCTATTTTCATACATTTATGAATCTTTTAGTAGCCTAAATGAAAATTTAAGAAAACAGTCAAAAGAGATAAACCTCAGACTTTTTGACAGGTACAAACACTAATTCAAATGATTTGCATTTAAAACAATATAGCCATGTTCATTTTGGCAGCTATTTTAGATTTATTTAGGTTTAGATTTAACCTTTTATAGTTTTAAGTCTTGTTTTCGTGGACGGAGATGACAACTCAAAACATTTTAGTCCAGTTTTAGTCAATAAAAAGTCATACCATTTTAATCTTTGGTCAAAACATTTTCTCTCTTTAAACTTTTTCTATAAGTCTATCACAGGTATCAGAAAGGAGACAGGTTGTATTAGCTGTTTTTCTAAACTCTCTCAAACATGTGCAAAACCTTGAACCCAGGTAAAGCACTAAAATGCAGCACACATAGGCCTACTACTGCTGCTGCTGTTATATGAATATACTCATAATAAACTCACAGGGAACATATTACTGATCCATCAATAGCCTACTTTCATTTCTAAAACACAATACTATTGTCAATACTGATATTTGCTACTTCAAATGGAGGACTTGTAGTGGAGTTCTTTCAAACGAGAAAAGAGCGAAGATTTGACCTGATAAACAACTTTTATTCACCTTTAAAAAGGAGGTAAAATAAGGTAACTGATATTATATCATTCAGACTTTAGTGGAGACTATTGTAAGCTTGTTTCTGCTTGTTGTCACGACAGCTGCAGTGCTCTGCTTCACATGTGCACACACACACACATGCACACTCTCTCGTGCTTGACTGTTTACAAACAGATTACTTGCATAGTTTGGGGGAATATCATGGATGTTGAATGTCCCACAGTCCGCCACAAACATTTTAGTCCTGTTTCGCACATTAATGAAAACCAAAAAAAGTGTTAGAGTTTTTATGAGCAAATATCTTTCATCAGCATCGTCTCGTCTTCATCAGGAAAAATCAACCGTGATGAACAATTATTATCATTTTTTTTGTCAAGGCAATAAACACTCTAATGAAGTAGACAGTTTTCACAGCATTTTAAGATCTGAATCCAGCACTTTTATTTTAATTTTTACTTCAACTATAGAAAACTATCAGTCCAACATCACAGCTAGAGAAGACTATCTCTCCTTTTTTGGTATCAAGACAAATGTGTCTAGTTCACTTTTAGACACTAACAGAACTACCAGAGCTGCCTCTGAATGTCCTGTCTGAATTATTTGTTCTTTGATGAGGTGGTTTTTGCTCATTATCGTCTTTGAAAAAAAGATTTTAAGGCTGTTTTTCTTCATGCACAGTTCTGTTTGTACTGAGACCATTATATATTTAGAACTTTGGCATCTTTGGTTGGAAGTAAATGTTATCTAGTAGCCAAATAGATTATTAAGGAATATGAAACAAGTTGTACTTAATCTTAGTATTTCATTATCATCCATCTTTTTATTTTATTTTTGTGTTACCAAAAGTCAAAATAAGAACTTTCAGACTGATGCAAGAAAATGATTCACTCCTGAATGAATTTACGGTTTATAGAGAAAGTGGCCGAGAAGTTCAGAAGGCTGCCTCCAACTGATTTTAGATCTACGAGCTCTATTGCTTTAAAGAGAAACATATTGAAATGTCATATATTGGATGAAATACCAGGGTGTCTCTTAGAAATGCCTGCTTTACCCAACAGACAGTAAAAGACATTTGACCAGCAATGACATTAAACCCAGTAAAATAATACATTCTCTGCTCTGAGAAGCAGGAAGTAAAAGGTGAGGCATTTTGTTGGTAGAAAAGTTGAACTGTTGGTTTGTTTTGCTTTTTTGTGGGTTTTTCTTGCACCCAAAACACCAAGAGAAACTGCTTGTTAGTGTAAACATATTTGGCTGTAAACATGATGTTAATGTAGATTCTTGCTATAAAGCTGTGCATGATTAGGGATAGTTAAGCCCACTATCATATAAAACAACTCACTGTGAGATCATAAAGTGAGTAGATGAGTTGTCAAAGACAAAGAGAAGAAGGGTAATACTGTATGTCGAACATGATGTCAGTGAATCCTGTTTTAAACTCTTCTTAAACACTTCAGGTAAACAATCTGCAGTCTTACTCTGACATGCCTCCCTCCACGGAGATGATATTGAGATTTATAGATGTTAGATGCAGAGTTTTTAGGTGATATTTAGCTTGTTATTTTTGCATTTTGTGTCAACATATAATGTGAATGAAATATTCATAATAATATTCTTTTGTTACAATCAGGTAAGGTGAGGTAACTGTAATTGTACCCATAGGTAGATTTGGTAAAAGTGTCATGTGAAATTGGGAACATTTCTGGGTAGATAAGATCTTGGGTTTATCCAGGAAGTGTCTGTGCATGTGTCTGTCTGATTAAATAGATAAAGGTAAAATGCAAATGCTATACCTGTTGGTCCCACCATTTGCACGTCTGTACTCCACAGCTGGATGGACGTGGTTTAGAGGGGGCCGTTAATTACAAAGAATGAACCCCTTAGAGAAAACTCCTGAGGAGGTGAGCAGAATTTTGGTTTCTACCTGGAATTAGAGGTTGAAACAGTCAACACCTCCTCCTCTGCTGTGTGTGTGTGTGTGTGTGTGTGTGTGTGTGTGTGTGTGTGTGTGTGTGTGTGTGTGTGTGTGTGTGTGTGTGTGTGTGTGTGTGTGTGTGTGTGTGTGTGTGTGTGTGTGTGTGTGTGTGTGTGTGTGTGTGTGTGTGTGTGTGTGTGTGTGTGTGTGTGTGTGTGTGTGTGTGTGTGTGTGTGTGTGTGTGTGTGTGTGTGTGTGTGTGTGTGATCTTTCCTATCGCAAAAAACTTGCTGACTGAAGTTGACATGCTGAGGATCTACTTTCAGAGAGAGGCAGAAAGCTAGGAGGAGGGAGAAGAAGAGACTCGGGTGTGGCTGCGCTGGTAATGACCGGTTTGCATTCAAACTAGTGTTTACTGATTCAACCCAGTCCCATTCACACACAAACACAGGCATATGGTGCATGAAAACACACAGCCATCCAAATGCAGGCCCCTATAGAGCCACACAGAGTGAAAGCATCCCAGTGATGGCCCGGTGACTCATACAAGTAAAGGTTCCGTCACCTCTTTATTGGAAACAGACACACAGCTTGTACACAGTAAGATCAAGATTCAGGAAGTGTCAAAAGAAACAGAAAGCCTTTCTTGTCATTATACTGTTGTGGAACATTTGAAACGCTTCTCTTTAAAGTGCACAAACATACAGGCATCCACAGATACAAACAACTTGCATTCAAGTGAAATCAAAACCTGTTCAGTTGTGATGGTTCAATAACGTACAAAGTCAAACTCACCGCAAACAAAATCCAGATGCTCCAGATACCAAAATCATGTCACTTGTCTTTAATATTCATAACACATATGCAAAACAAAATTTATTCAATTCAGTTTTCTGATGCTCAATGCAAGGCATGTACTCAGTTGTATTTTTTCCTTGAACTGTACGCGGAAATGAGCTTCCTTCTGCAGCTGGAAACAGGTGTGATGACTTCATGATTTCTGTTGAAACTGCTGATTTACATCTGGTTGTTCCACGCCTCGGTGTGCAGCTGCAGCTGCTAAAGTTCAAAACCTGTGGCTGCATAATCACTGTATGGGTTCATATGTGTCTGAGAAGACTTTTTAAACTTTGATGACTCCAATTGCTAAAGGAAAAAGATCCAATAACAGGTAACTTAGTCACTATAAATTCAGCCTTTAACACCTGTTGACTTGGCATCTGTTGCTCACTGCATCAGTCCATCCATTGCGTACCTTTAGGTCATGAAGGAGTCATTCAGTTTGTCTTTGTATGCTCTAAAGAAGGGCAGTAAACAAGAACTGTGTTGCACTTATATGACAAAGAGCTTTGTGACCTTTGCTTCAGAAGTTACATGTATTTAGTTTCACTTTACTGCTTTTTATTGGCTGTTTGCAAAGTCCCTTGAAAATGATTATCTAAGCTATTTGAAATTAGTTTTAGCCCTTAAGGTGCTCACTGAAAAGTTGTAAAGCCATTGCTTGACTCTTTGCTGAACATAAGAAAAGTTTGGTTTTGTGACTGTTGGAAAACGTAATAAGCTGTTCTTTACTTTTCAGAAGAAAGGCTTAAGTTTAGAGGATAAGTGTTGTCTCAAAAGATGGGACCGATCTGATCTTATATCAGTATCGAGTTCGATATGGGTGAAATTTTCAATATCGGACTGACGGCCACAATCCTTGTCACTGATCAAGAACTATATGGTTGGGCACTTTAAACATTCCCAACTCTCGCTTTGAAGACATTCAGACTGAACTGTAAGAACTCGTCTCCATTACAACGTTCAGACGACATGGAACAGTTCCTTCTTTATGTTAAAAAGTACAATTCTTACACTTCAGTTTAAAAGATTTAATTTTGAAGCAGGTGTTGCTGCTTACTGTTTATTATGCAAAGTCAGCACAATGCAATGCTGGGTTTACCACAGCATCGGTATCGGAATCGGATCAGAACTGGAAAAAAGTGGAACGTCTCTAGTCTAAAGACTGCTGGAGGCTGCTGGAATTGTTTGAACTGTTTTTTAAAACTAGAGAGAAACAGCCAACATAAGCCGAGAGCAGCCGATAGAGAAAATGCATGCCTGGTTTTCTCAAAGGCCCAGAGTCTTTCAGGTTGTTAATGAAGCTAGAACTCTGTGTCGTCCCCCATCAGACTCTCCAAACTAGTAATTTATAACAACAAATTGATCATTGAGGTAACTAGCCATCCGTTGTTCCATCCTAAGTGAAAGAAGATAACCAGTGGCCAGTTGTGGTCATGTCTGTATGCGTCAGTTTCTATCTTCAATCAGTCTCAGTACAGATACGGAATAGCACCAAAGAATTGTGAAAAAATTGAATCAGGACACGCGCATATCATCCCACACATAAATGTTTTTTTTTTCTCTTTATTGTGTTTCAGTCAGCCTCTTTTGATGTGTCTATTAGTTCCATTTCTGTAGATACCCTATGTAAAAATACTGGTATCTGCGTCAGAGGGGAAATGTTAGAGCAATGATTTTCACTTTAACTTCCCACTGAAAAGATTTGTTACACAGAAGACAATAGATGTTGGTGATACAAATGTAACACAAATGTTTCCATGTGACTTTCCCCTGAAACTATCTGGCTTGTTTTTTAACATTTCCAGGCCAAAAGCAAGTAAAGTTGAGGTATGATTGTCATGAAAGTCAGCTTAAAAGTTGAAGTCATTATCTCTTTGAGCTCGTATTTAAACACAACATCATGATAGTGACAGAGAGAAAAAGACAATCAGAGAGGTCAACCACAGAGTTCACTGACTGTCCAAATGGGAAGGAAAGGAAGCGACTGTGTGTACATGACTTTGATCTGAAGGGTCTGGTGTCAAAGACCAACTGTAGTTCTTGTGCTTGGTTGACAGCTCATGCGCTGTGGCGGAAGACCCTCAACAGAAACCGAAAAAGACTTGAGGTGTCTCACTTCATTTTCTGCAAACCACACAGATGAGAACTTTTATACAGCTTAAGTCAGAGAAACACATCTGCATGTACCCACAACACAAACTCCTTTATTCTTCTATTCATGTGCAAGTCAAGATTTCTTTTTGCACTTTCCTCAACTGTTTTGTGTCCTTTAATCGAACCCTTTTCTCCCAGCCTTGTCCATTATTTCATTCTTAAGCCCTCCACAGTTCTCACTCTTTCTGCAAATTGTTCTGTTTTAGATTTCTCTCCCCGCACAACCCTCGGCTGGAGAGTGGGTCACTGAGGTTCCCTCCCTATGCGTGCATGTGTGTGTTGTGCATGTTTGGATTGAGATAGAGTTACATAGCTGGATTGTGTAATTGTGAGGTGTGTCTCTGCTGCAGGGAGCTGCTCTGCTGTTTCCATTGTCAACGAAGTTCAACTTGAAAGCAATGGTGCAGTGTGCGTTGTGGCCGCATCGCTGGCTTACACATGAAAACAGAGTGTGTGAGTGAGGGTTGTTGACTCAAAACGCACTGTACACCTCATGCAAGTTTACTGTAAATAGAGGATTAAAGCATGTTGTTGTGGGGCCACATTTGAAATGTGTCTTGAATTGAAGACTGGACTCTGCTGTGGTTGGTTTCAATTACAGCTTCACCGTCATGAAGCTCTTCCATGTTCCTGTCATGACTTGTCAGCCTGTATAGATGCTAATCATTGGGCTCTACTTATATGACAATTAGTGCTGCTGCTGCTTATCAAGATGTTCTGGTTTAACATAACTAGCAAACAAGTAAGTTTGTGAATACACCTTTTTTTCTTGAATTGGATTTTAAACATTGTTTGCTTGTTTTTATTATTAGTAGTAGGCCTATTTGTTGTACCATTTAGTAGTAAACAAGCTGAAGACCTCATCCATTTCATCTAAAATCTGTTTTGACCTCAAGTTAATAACAATACACTATAAGATATTTTTTCTCATAGTCCACTGCACAGCTCCTACATTGCACCATTCGTACATTTTGTGTTTTTTATTTCTTATATTTTACATTTTTAAATTCTATTTCATATATTGTAATAGCTTCTTATACTGTATTATTTAAGTTGTTGCTAGTTCTGCGTTATTTCCTTGTTAATTGTTTAGCACTAATACACCAAGTCAAATTCCTTGTGTGTGTTAATGTACTTGGCAATAAAACCCGATTCTGATTCTGATTCTGATGACAGATTGATAGAATGTCCTTTATTGGCTATTTCAAACTCTGCAGCCGGAGAGCATTTCCCTTATAAAATGGAAGCTTTGACTTTGTGGTCTTTTTTAAAGTTCAGTGCAAATACAAATGTCTGGAACAGCTTCCCTTTTTCATTTTAGCCATGTTTCCTGTGTGGTTTTTTGTCCTTGACTGCTTGGTTGACCTGTTCCTCTTCTCATATTCTAATGTTGAATGTTATCAGCTGTTTTCAGTTTAGAAATATAATTTTCAATCTAGACTTTTCACCAGCACTTTCCACAGACCATGTTGTTGTTGTTGTTGTTGTTGTAGGTTTAGTGCTTTCTATAGTTGTCTTGAACTAACACTTCTTTTCTCTGCAGATTACAGACCAGTGAATCCAGAGTTCCAGCGGAGGCCTCAGACTTCAAACTGGATCCTTCGAGTCCTCACCTGTCCAGCTGATGGCATGCGGATCTCCAAACCATTGGGACGGGCGAGTCTGAATGAAGCCCTAAACTTTCCTCTCCGCCTCTCCTCTGCAACACCGCTCTCCTCTTTATCCCCTCTGCCTCTTCTTTGATCATCATCCACCTGTCATCTCAACATGGACACCAAAACTGAAGACAAGGACGGTTGCCACTACAACAAAACCGTCAAGTTTTTCTATGAGGAGAGTGGGAAAAACATCAGCGACCACTGGCGAAATCGTGACTATGTGATTGTCAGTCTGGGCATGACGGTCTGCTTCATCGTCATCTTCTCAAACCTTTTGGTCATGGGCGCTATTTTAAAAAACAGACGCTTTCACTTTCCCATCTACTACCTGCTGGGTAACCTGGCTTTGGCAGACCTCTTTTCAGGTACAACGTTTTTTTAATTTTCATAAAGTCTTTCCAGTGATGTAGTTGTGCCTAAAGAAGCGGCTATACTCTTAAATTGATCCTTAAATGTATTTTCAAGTTGCTCTTCCAACAGAGGTTAAACAGCCTCTGTTATATACAGTGACATTGAAGACTACTCCTGCATATTTACTTAGTGTGAAAGGTCATCCCTTCACCATCCTACGAAAAATAAATGCAATATACTGCTGAATATTTGTTAATCAGAGGGGATTTAGAAGTGGGTATACCCTATGGAGGATGAAAAACCTTATACCCTGTATATGTAGGGTATAGGGTGTATACCCTGCACTACACCGCTGAGTCTTACTTGAAATGATAGGAGAATACTGCAAACCCAGGTCTGATAGAAACGATCTTTATTGTCTGTTTCATAAAAACCATTGAAAGGCAGTAAAGCAGGTCTTCAATAAACAAACATACAAACACAATAAACACCATATAAAAACTCAACTCAAATAATAGTATGGTGGTAATAAAAAACTGTTATAGTAATGATAAATAATGTGTCAATTAGGCAAGCATTAAGCTCTGAAAGTACCCATTCTTAGTCTTTTTGTCCCTTCTGATACTCCACCTTACTCTCGCACTTCGGCCGGTCAGTATGTGCTCGGTGTTTAATTGTATTCTTATGTTATTAAAATACTAGAAAAAAAAGTCTTAAATGATGCCTGGTTTACCCAACAGTCTGAGGAAATGACAAACCAAGCTTTGTCATTTTGTTAGCTCTCACTGAAGAATGAGATTTTCCACAGACTCATTTCATGAATGTAAAACACTTAATCATCCTATTAAAACAGTTAGAATAGAAATTTAGGCTGCTTGGATTTTATCTCGCACTATATGCCCTAAAGACATCAAAACCTGCTTCACTCTTTTTAAATGAAACTATAATACTGAGGTTGTTTTTTTTTAATGCAGTGTTAATCCATTGTTTACTATTCTTCTTAAATATCTTCTGCAACAATAACTATGCACTATAGTATTGAAAACCAAGTGAAAACAATTTTGAAGTTGACATCCAAAAATGTCTAGATTGTAAAATAGAGTATTATACTGTCACTTCTAGAACAGGTACATTTTTAATACCTAATAATTTTAGCATGCAAGCCTTAAAAGAACAAAATAAGCCACCATGTGAAGTGTTTTGTAGCTCTTTTTAATCCTTTGTGTGGTATTGACCGCGGACTTTCCTCTCTCCAGGTGTCTCCTACCTGCACTTGATGTTTCATACTGGTCCCTGGACCATTAAGCTGTCTAAGCACCAGTGGTTTGTGCGCCAGGGGCTGATCGACACCAGCCTGACAGCTTCGGTCTTAAACCTGCTGGCTGTGGCCGTGGAGCGTCATCAGACCATCTTCAACATGCAGCTGCATAGTAAGATGAGCACGCGGCGAGTCTTCATCATCATGATCTTCATCTGGCTGGTGGCCATCGTCATGGGCCTGGTTCCCACCATGGGCTGGCACTGCCTGTGTGACCTGGAAAAGTGCTCCACCATGGCGCCCATGTACAGTCGCAGCTATCTGGTGTTCTGGGCCACCCTCAACCTGCTCATCTTCTCCATCATGGTGGCCGTCTACACCCGAATATTTATCTATGTGAGGCACAAGAGCAAGCAGATGTCACATCACACCAGCCAGATGAGGCACAGAGAGACTGTGTTCAACCTGATGAAGACGGTCTCCATGATCCTGGGTGAGGAAACACTGTTTTTTAACACAACTTAAAATGCTGTTAACCTGAAGTACAATAACTCAGTGTGTGTTTTTAGTCGATGTGTGTATAACAGAGACAACAGAGTCTAGGGCTACAATTAACAATTGTATTACCCGGTCATTTTTGGGGGATTTATTACTCTGTCTGTGATACATAAAAAAAAAAAGGCAATCACAATTTCCCAGAACCCAAAGTGACTTCTCCAAAGTGTTTCTTTGTGCAACCAGAAGTCTGACACTCAAACATTATTCATTTAGTATCATGAATGGCAAAAAAAAAAAAAAGCAGGAACTTCAACATAGACATCAACATTTATAGTCCTTTATCAGAAAATTTGGAAATGCATGTCAATTCTTCAATTCAATAATGGACCAATCGGTGCAGCTTCACCTGTGTCATGTTCCACCTCGCAGCTTTAAGCAAAGTCTCAAACCTGTCAGAAAGAGTCAAAAAGAAAGCACATGTTGGAGGCTTTGCTGATAGAAGAGTAGCTTGATCAGGAAAATGATTGAATGTGGGTATAGAACAGTGATCCCAACAGAGATCTGGAGAATGGTGAAACTACAAAGGAAAGAGGAAAATAATTAAGATTGAACGAGCAATAATCTAACCTTAAGTGAGAACTGTTCATAATGCTCAGGGATGATGTGCTTTCATCTGGTATTTCCACTGAAAATCTATCTGTTGACAGACCAAACACAGAAATCTCTCCTTGTACTATAAACAAGGTATACTTACATGAAGAGACATCATTAAACAGACTAAAAGATGGTTGTTGGAACTTCAAATTGTACAGAGATTACTACATATTGCTATGATGCTCAGATGTTGCCATGTTAGGGGCAGACAGCACACACACACACACACACACACACACACACACCGAACACACACACAGGCATGCAGGCTTCTCTCTCCGCGCGTCTCTACTTGTTAAAACAGACTTTACTCCCCCAACATATCACTCCTTCTCCTGCCCTGATTTCTCTTGTTTTCTGCTGCACTTCTTTGCTCCTCTCCTCTCTCTTTCCCAGCCTCCCCAACTCTCCGGCTCTTGCATTTTGAACTTTGGATTAAATTCCTCCAAGTTTTTAAAATGTTACTTGTCTTTCTCCCGTCGCCAAGCAGCCAGTATTCAGCACCTCTGGCATGTGAGGAGGGCGAGGAAAACCCTGAGCATGCCCTGACATAGTTCAGTTCCTTTGACAGAAAACAGCTCCTCTCCTGAAAATACGACACCACCACACATCAGTCTTCTGTGTTTGCGAGGACCGCCTCAAAGGTTTTGACCTTGACGTTGAGGTCTTTTTTTTTTTTTTCCCAGTATAATTGGGATATATTGCCTTTTTATCATGCCGTCAAATTCCTCTCTCAGAGTTAAGATTTTCATGTGAGGATCGGCATGTAGTTGTGACACTTAAGGTTATGGCAAGGGACTGAGGAATGCATTACACACTGTTCATGTATGTGTGTGTGTTACCACATCGTTTCCGTCTGTAGCCCATGCGTTTACATTATCCAGCTCTGAATGTGCTGCGTGTGTGTGTGCACATAATGAATTCCTGAGCTGCCTCATCGAATATTATGATAATGAAATCTGATCATACAGACTAAACCCAGTCCACATGCCAACATGTTATGTATCTCTGTGTGTGTGTGTGTGTGTGTGTGTGTGTGTGTGTGTGTGTGTGTGTGTGCGCGCGCACATTGTCCAGAGAGGAATTAACAGTACATTCCCTTTCTCACCTAGCTGCCCTTCTTCTTCTTCTTCTATCCTCCTCTTTTATATTTGACTCCTCTTGTTGATTTTCACTGTTATTACAAGTCTCCTAACAACCTTATGTACTCTCCCTCTCCGTCCTCCCCCATCAGGCTGTTTTGTGCTCTGCTGGACGCCCGGCCTGGTGGTGCTGCTGCTCGATGGTCTGGGCTGCGACAGGTGCAAGGTGCTGCGCTACGAGAAGTACTGCCTAGTGCTGGCGGAGTGCAACTCCTTCGTCAACCCCATCATCTACTCGTTCAGGGACAAAGACATGAGGAGGACCTTCAAGGATATCCTGTGCTGCCTATGCCCATGGGGCCGCAACGCAAAGAGCAGCTCTGAGGTGCAATTTAACACCCTGGACCGCGAGGTATTGTCTGAGAGCAATGAAGACAGCAATCACAAACAAAACAACCACTCGCACTAAGGACTCTTAAAGAGAAATCACACTGAGAACCAAAACTAAAAGCATGACCACTACAGTCACCAGTCTTTGCAGCTTTTTATGACCAACTAGTAAGATGGTCACTATAAAATGTCAGGCTACCTTTAAATTCAGCTCCTTAGCTGTAGTCTTACCTTTCACTCCAAAAAAAACCTTAAACTTATGGTTTAATATATTTTTTCATAGTAAAGACAAAGATGAAACCTCTGGCCATTCCCATTGAAAAGAAACTTCCACTTAACCATCCTGTGCATTAACAAGTATTTTACAAGTCAGTCAACCATTCATTTAAATGTTCTGATTCACTCATCCTGCTCTCCTGACCTCTTTCTCATTTATTTTTATGTACACAACCCATCCAGCACTCGTTGATCAACAAAGTTGGCAGCTAGCTGGTAAGCAAAGTGTAGCATTTTAAAATGTTTGAGTGACTAAAGACCCTCAAATAATCCCTTTTTAGCTGGTGAAGACCAGAGTTGATATTAGACTTTATTTGGTTGACAGATAGACAAATCCAAATGAAAGTTTATGTTTCTACTTAACTGCCTTTGTTCAAATCAGAAACTAAAAGAGATATGTTGATTTTTCAGTGTTGTGTTAAGACTGTTTCTGCAGCACCAAAGTGGCCACCCAAGTTTTCTATTGTAGGCTTAAGGAGACATCATTGTGGTTTTCTTTCTTTTTCTTTTTTTAGTTAGATTTTGAGTCGAGGTTTTCTCGCTCAGTGGAGTACTTAACTCCACCACCTTTTCGACAAAAGGAATACGACACATTTTAAATGCAATGCAACATAGAATCCTCTAAAAAAAGAAAGAAATCAATTTAAACTGCATATCAATTCATCCCCTGGAAAAAGCACAGATCAAGAGCTTTGCATATAAAGCAGGATTGCACCTGATGCTTCTTACCACTAAACAGACTGTCATTAGATTCAAATGTGGGGATTTATAGTTAGAAAGTGTTTTTTCTGTCATGCTTTGACCAAATCTAAATAAATGTGCTTCTGCTTTCTGGGCGCTCTAAACACTGTTGAATATAAAATGTCCTTCTTCCTCCTCTGTTGTCCTGCAGTATGACTGTAACCACTGGAGTTAGAGAGTCTGTAACTTCTAACAAATGATGCAGTGTTTTAGTAGGCCGTCTGCTGATGCGTCTTTAGCAGCACGGCTTCAAGTTTGAATTAATTGTTGAGCTCTGTGCTGCCTAATGCAATGCTAATTAACAACTGTAGATCAACTAGTGAGCAAATACAAGCATGGAACACACACTGCTCTCACAGAGGTGCAGATTTCATTGTTGTCCAACAAGGAGTGTGGGTGTTGCACCTTTATTCCTCAAACCTGAATGTGCAGAACCCCGAATTTGGTCTCATCTTCTCAATCTATCACCACAACGTTCAGATTTAGGTAAAACAATTACATCAGGTAAAAAAAGGTGCCCTTTCTGTAATTCTTAAAGGGTCAAGTATTTTGTATCAATTATTTTGGTACTTGTGGAAAAATGGACGTGTCTTTTGATCCCCTGAGCTGAACAAAGACAGTGAAAGAAGAACACAAGTAAAATAAAGTGTTGTAATTGTCTAAGTAAACTTTTCTTCAGCTTTGCTGAGCTTCAACTGTAGCAGCACTCTTTATGTCAGTTCTTGAGCGTGAGCTGTTTTCCCCTCTGCCTTTATATGAATTACATCAGATTTGTGTGACAATTCCAAGCACACATTGTGCTCTTGAAATTATTACTGCATGAGAAAGCTATATTATGAGCAAACCAAAATCACTTTTTCGCTCAATAAATCTTTGGAGTGTTCTGTCATCAACAGATGTTCACAATAATCGCTTTCTCACACAGTTTTCTGGAACCTGCAGACTGCTGCTCAATTGGGGAGGTCTCTGATTGGCTCTTTGGGCTCTTATCTGGTCTGTAGTACGAGTACTTGCGTGACTAGGCAGCTGAATGAATCTACCGGGCAAAGGCCCAGTGGCTCAATAAGAGTCAGGAGACCCTTAACAACTGAAACGCTACTCAAAGTGTCTGTTATCATTTGTTGTTTGAAAGATAGATAGATAGATAGATAGATACTTTAAAGCCATGAAAGCCAATGAAACAATACCTAACAGCCACTAAAAATGACCACAAAGAGCCACAAAACAAGAAATTACGAAATACGAATGACTATAAAAGGTTCAAATATATGCAAATGAGCAGAGAGAGGCACGGAACCCTTCTACAAAAAAATACAAATGGTGATGACCTCGATCACAGCCCTCTGATCTCATAAAACGTTAATGTCACACTGCCTCGTACCGTAAACACGTTTATATAGTGCAATTACACAAATGCCCGGAATTACCCCGCTGTCTAATGTTGCTTAGTTTATACGGCACACCACATTTGGATGTCCTCTGTGAGCTGTTTGCTAATGTGTGTATGCATGTGCGTGTTTGTCAGATTGCGTGCTCTTGTTAAACGTGTCCAGATGTGTGCTTGTGGTTGGAGTGGGTCATGCTCCTTGCCACATTTCATTTGACTTGTAAATCTGGCATGTGTGTATGTTGGAGGCATGCTCTCTCTCTCACACACACACACACACACACACACACACACACAGACATGTAGGCTGGGCTGTTAACAGGAAATGCAGTCATTAGTGTGTAATCTTTTTATTTTTAGTGTGAGTATTGTTTCATTTCTTTCTTGTTGGTGACATTAGATCAGAAAAAATGGAGGAGGAACTTGTTCGGACAAATGTGCATTTTTTTGTGTGCTTTGATAATAAAACGTGCAGGGACTAATACGTTTAAAAGGAAGTAAAACATTTATAGATGTTACAGTTATTATCTATAAACACTCCTGAAGGGAGTGCCATTGAAGAATCTTTTAAGGGGATATGTTTTTATTCAAAATATATTCTTTGCCTTTAGGATTCACATAAATCAATACGATCATGCTTACCGTTTTCATACTATTATAGGTATAAGTGTTGTTTTGACATTTTAGAAACGTGTTCATATTGTTCTGGGTTTATTTTTGTACAACATTGTTACTACTTATACAAATAAATGCCTACATCGACCTACATTTATGCTGTCTGCTCTTGTCTGTCTGCAGCATGATTGCTTTTGCGATAACCAGTCAAATATTAATTTTGGCATCATGTCAGACTGTGTAGAAATGTGTAGAAATGTAGGAATAAACATGTTTTTTCTATCTTTCTCTCTGAGCTTGACTTTTCTCTTTTTGCTAGTTCAGACACGACTAACCCAATTTCTTCTGTTCTCTTTTCCCTGCTTCACCTAATCCCTGCTCCTTTGTTATTCCCCCCCCCCCCGATTCCTCACCTCGTTCCAACTCTCTCCTCACACTCTTATCTGTCTCTCCACCTCTTCAGAAGTATAAATCTCGTACCACCGAGCTGACAGAGAGGAGCAACGGGACACTTCTCATCCGCTCAGAGGACACGCCTGTCTCCTCAGAAAAGTGGAAGTAATGCATACAACCACAAACTTTCAACACATGAGACAGAATGCAGACGGACATTTTACGATGAAATCCTTCCATCTGTGCATGTACACGTAAACATAAGACCTCAGAGTGTGTGACAGGGCCAGAAACTGTTTATTCTATAGGTAAAGTTTAGATTTGACCTCAGCACTCAATGGTTATACTTTTTGTTGTCTTCATCACTGGGCAGGAAGACCTTGGAAACTTCTAACAATCGGCTAACATTACCTTGGAATACGAATTTAAATGTAGTTGGCAGAAGAGGCTGATTTGCACTCTGTCGTCGCCTTTCAGCAGAAGAAAGGAGAATAACCACCCATTACTCATCCATTCTAAACAACATGGGGGGGCGTTGGAGAGCTTACATCCTGTTGAGACATAAATGAAGCTCCATTTTTTCCCTAAACACATGCTGTTGTAAGAGAGAGGTCAGAATAACTGGAAGAAACTGGCAATGCGTGGAAGAACTGACTAATAATGTGTTTGTCTTTATGTCATCTAGTTGAATAGGTTCTGTATCAAATGGCTTTAGCTTGTATCCTCTAATCATGAGGGTCATAATGTTCAGTGTGTTGAAACTGTTACAGAGCTGTTTGAGCCACCATGTGATCTTTTTCAAACTGCAGTTGTAGTTGCTGTTGAAATAGTCGGCATTTCTGTTAATCAGACACACTCTAATTGATAAATGAAGGTAGGAAAAATTACTAGAATCATCCCCAACCCATCTCACACAACCAAAATCAAAACAGTTTCAACATAACATTGGGATTTAGTAGAGTCATTGTAACTTCGTCTATGAAATGACATCATACATTAAGACTTTTAAGATGCTGTCAGAGGCCACTTCAACTTCACATGAAACAAGTGCCATGATGTCCTGGGCCCAGTTGTTCAAAAGTAATCCGTCCCAAAAACAATCAGATTGTATACAATCTCAAAACTTTTTTTTTCTTGAAGAAAAAGGGATTAAGACTAAGGATTGGATTAGGCAGTACAGCCTTGGTTTTCATCCATTTACTGTATAACCCCAGTTTGTGTTTTATAAAACTTTACAGTGGGATGACTTTGAAAATGATCAAATTACGATGTTTTTAAATTATCTTTTGTTATTATCATTTTTTAAATATTTTTCTTTAAAATAGCTGAATCCATACAATGACATTGTTGATAAAGTAGACATTAAGTTCCCCATCATAAATGCACCAAGTAACTCAATATTTGTAGAAAAAGATATTTAAAGCAGCTCTTTTAGTTTGTGTTGATTTTGGTTCCCCCCTGTGGTCAAGGCATGTCATTTGAAGTCCCTTTTAGAGCACATGTAAAGGTTATCCAATCCAGTTTGTATTTGAAACACCAAAAGTTAGCTGGATTACAGTACCTGATCCTGATGAGGAAAAGAAGTGGATTTCCAAATCCGGATAATTTGAAATCCCAAATAAAGCTTTTGAACAATCGGGCCCTGGGTTTAATAAAGAACTGTTAGTTGGTTGATTATTAAATCGTTAACCACTGACGGTTATATTGATTTTCACAGACTTTTTAAAGTATTACATTAGGGTTTCCAGGTTGTTAAAAATATGTAAATTATGCTGTTTAAACGAGCCGGTTTATTTATGCAGAACTTCAAGAAATGTGTGTCCTGTCTTTTAAAAAGGGTGAAAACTCTGATGTTTAATTTTAATTTTACATTTTTCATAAATTGCACTGACCACACATCGTGGATTAGATCCTGTTTGCAGTGCAGGGGTTTCAACTCATCAGAATTGTTTCTTTTTCTAATTTAAGATTGCAGGCTGTCCCTTCTCCAAACATTCGTTTTTCTATATGCACGTTTTCATTCGCTGTTTGCTACTGACACTTTGGTGTTTGCATTGTGTAAATGCTCTCTGTGCTTTTGTAAAATGATTGTGATATAAACCTTTATTTATGATCACAGTAACTGTAGATATTATGTACAGTATTTAGTGCAGTTTGGAAGATTTGCCATGTCAAAAAAAACATTAAAAGACATACATCTAGTCTTATGGATCAAACCGAGATATGTGTTTAATTCTAAATGATTCGACTGAGCAAACAAGACAAGTAAGAGATGATATGAAGCTTTTAGAGTTGACACATTACAGCAAATTGATGCTAATATTGCATTGAACTGATGTCAAGATGTTAGTAGGAAAGAGCCTTCCAAGGAGTTTTCTCTCAGAAGCTTTGGTTTCCGCAATTCGTGCAAATCTCAATGAGTCTGTTCGAAGAGACTTCTGCTACTTTTAGCCGTCAATCCGTCTCATTTTCTTACAGTTTTTCCTTGACTGAGGTAAAGAAAACATATTGTTGAGCCCCGAGCTCTTTCCCAGGTTCTTCATCTGCTCTCCTCCGCCCGTCTCCTTCCCTCCTGGTGAAGTTTTCTGCATCGCCTCCTTCCTCATGTTCCCCAGAGAGAATCTTTTCAGTGATATTGGCTCTTTCTTGTCTGTTGGCAGAGAGAATCTCTTCTGGGAATGTTTCTCCTTCCTCAGGTTATCCAGGTTCAGTTTACCCAGGACACTCTTCTTGCTGTTCTTCTTCTTGCGTTTGCTATTTGGCAGCGCCCCCTTCAGGTCACTCCAGGCTTTGTTCAGAGACGACTTTTTTTTCTTCCTCTGCCAGAAAAATGTTTGCTTAGAGGAAGAACCACCCATCACCAGCGTGCCTGCAGGAGGATGAAAAATGTCATCAACCTTTGTCATTAAACATGCGCGTAAAAGCCCAGGAGGCGATGACAAACTGTACACAACCACTGAAGGGTTTGATTCCAGTCTATTAAAGTCTGAAAGGTAATGAACATAATACACAAGTGTTTTTAAGGTGTGCAAATTCACATTTTAATTTAATGCCAAATATATATTTTAAGTATATATATTAAAGTTTTCAAAGAAGGGGGGACTTTTTTGTGACTTATGGACAGAACTTTTGGGGAAATAAAAGCTTGGGACTCCTGATCCCACTAAAGGAGTCCATGGGGGGTAATTAAACCACTTTAAGAGAACCACACACATGTTGACACATGTATCAGCATTCGTTTTGTTCACTACATGACTTTTACACAAAAACAAAATGTCTTGTTCTTTTTAAGTAACACATCACAGACTTGACAAAATAAGACATAATGACAAATAAAAACTAAAGGTAAAGGGGAAACATGTTTTGTATGATGCCCAAAGCCAGAATTGAATCCAACATCAATCCTCAGAAAGAAGTCAACATGTACCCTTGTTTACACATCATACAAAAACAAACAATAACCTCCAGAACAAAAAAATGTTCTTACTCACCCGGTTGCTCTCAGCAGTCTTGTGGTTTGTTTTTGTCCTGCGGGTCCTGAGCTACAAATGGACTCTAAAAAAACTCAAAACAAGGAGTCTCTTCTTATCCTTGTCATCATGTAAGCTTTGATGAGCCAGATGAAGATGGCGACAGATTCTACATCTGAACCAGTGCAGAGACCAGCAGAGAAGAACTAGCTGACCTTAATTCCTGAAATCTTTGAGCCTACCAAACTGGTTCAGTGACATTCCCAAAACATTGACTGTGCTTCAGTTTCTTCTGTTTCAGAGACACTTGAAATGTCGTCAGACTTTGACTGCATGTTAATGTCATTATAGTTGTGTTCAACAGTGTAATCAAGTTCTTTTAAAGGTTTTTTTTCCCCAGCAGGTACTTTCATAGCAGGGCAATTCAGGTGTTACAACTTAAGTAAACTTTTAACACCTTTTTTTTGTTTTTCTTACTGTGATGTGACAAAACTACAAACACAAATTAAACAGCCATCTGTAGGCCACAGCAAAACTCTAGAAGTAACATTTTGTTTCAATGTTCAGAAGTGTTGTTTTGTGTGAAACTACAGCATATTGTGATACAAAATAAAGTAACATGCTGGCTGTTCAGGTGCTGACTAGAGTCAAACTAGAGAGCGCTGTTGGAGTGTCTTTCTAAATGAGTGATGAAAAGATGCTGGAAATGTTATTTATGGTCCTGGTTGTTCAAATGTGGTCCAGCAGGATAAAGCTATCAGAGTGGATCAAATCTTGAAACTGGGTTGTTCAAAAGGGAACCAAAAGAGATTACATAAAACGTTTGAGTTATATTGAAAGTACTTTGATCCAAAATCAGGATTCCCAGCAGAGGTGGATCAGGTTGAACCTGTCCAGTTTTTCCTTGGAAAAGGATGACAGTGAGCTGGGTATAACGTGATTCTGGGCCTTGTGGTTATACATCTGCCCCGTTAGTTTCTCTTGTATGACACTCATCTTAAACATCTTTATTTTCTAACAGGAGGGAAGTTCATAAGAATAAGTCTTCTCTCTGCTTCCTGTGTTTTTTGGTTTTCTTCTGTTGGTTTTTTTTGTGTTAACTTCTTTCACTGAAACTAAGAGAAATAACAAGTTGCATCATCCTCTTTATTTTTTAAGTCTAGTCTTGTTAACTCCATTGGATACATAAAATGTTGGTGATCTTTGATAGTTTGAGGCACTTCCTCACCGTAATTTGAATGCACTTTGACTTTCTGTCTCTGAGGTTTTGTGTCAGACTTTTTTTTTTTTTCCACTTCAAAAATGCTTACAGGTTCTAAATGATGACTGCTGTGTTTTGTTGTCTAGTGTTGCTACACCAGAGGTCTGAATGTTATTTCATTTTCAGCCACCTTGAACATGTCTGCTAGGATGAAGATCAAGACAAAAAAACAACAACATTTCTTCTTATAATTCATTAGAGTTTGTACACAATGCATGAAATAAACATGTTTCTTAACACGCTGTAGTTCAATTTATCCATATGTGACGTATATCATGGCATGGACAGGTACTTTTCAAACATATCTGCACAACATTACTATACTGCTTTAACAATGTATTACATCAGAATGATTTTGCTAAGATGCTGTGCACCTTTCTTTCTAAAATAGTAGCTGTTGTTGTACTGTAAAGGTTTCTTTCATGTGAATTGTCAAAGAATACAGATTTGCCTTAAAGAATGTGTTTGACAATAACTCACATTTCCTTGTTTGTTGCACTCTCTGCTTATTTAGTGTGATGCATTTTGGCTACATAACCTTTTGTGGTGTCGCAATTACGAGACTCAACCCAGTAAATGTTACATTAAGATTTGTTCTACCTTTTTTTTGTCTTGTTCTGCTCTTTCCAATACTTCAGTATGTCTGGGGGTGAAGTCGGTACCATGCTCTGTTGGCACCCCCTTGTGGCAGAAAGGGGCACTGTAACAGACAAACCTCTTCCCATCAAATTGAAGAAACTGTGAATTACCCTCACAAACTTAAAAGCGGTGAGGATTTTTATTCCATGAGCGTTTCTTTGGCCTTTTTGTACGTGCTCTGCTTACACTCGTGTCAAAAATCTAAAACAAATAGACCTGTAAGCCGGATTTTGTCCCCCCCCCCCAAAAAAAAACGTCCTTATTGGTCGACATGTGACGTTCAGGGGGGCGTGGAGCTGGACTGCCATTCTAACGTGAGGGATTTTATTCTGCTAGAATTGTTTTTATATTCAGCTATAGGCTGATATAAGGACATATATTTCTATGATCTCTCAATTCGTGCTCTCACTTCTAACTTTGTATGGCCTGCTTATCATTCTGGTGTTTCAATCTGCATCACAGTGTCGTCCTCCTCCCTCCTCTCCTCCTCCTCCTCCTCCCAAGTCTCTCCTCTTCCTCCTCCATCCCTCCTCCTCCTCCTCCTCCTCACAGCTCCACGGTGCTGCTGCTGCTGTTGCTGCTGCTGCTGCCTGCGTGCTCTCCGTGCGGCGCGCCGCGGCCATGGTGGACTCTCCGGGTGCGATGAAAAAGACCTTCTCGGTGCCGGAGATCAAACCGCTGGACCAATACGACTTCAACCGGGCCAAGATCTGCGCTAGCGTGCGGTGGCTGCTATCCAAATCGTACGGCTCTGCAGGTACACTCTTTTCTGTTCTCATCACTGAGGGGGCTGCTTGGGTGGGGCGCTTAATAATTGATCATGGTTGCCTGAAGCCCATATGGAGCTCTCGGCTTGATTTGTGGTCCTGAGGAACCTCCTGCGTCTTTCTGCAGAGCATCCGTTCATATCAGCCGCTGCAAGGATGCTCCACTTGCTCCTCCGTGCACGCAGAGTGTGCAGCTTTATATAGATTACCATGTTATTAATGAGGAGCGTTTTCTGCTAATTACCAACATGCGAGTCCCGTCTGGAAGGGATCTCCTCCGTGCTGCGTTGATGAGGAAGGAGCTGAAGGCTGTCATCGCTGCAGAGAAACAAAGCCTTTTGTCAGAGCTGAGCTCCACCAGGCCTGTGGATGGATCGTCAGATTGACATGTTAGAACCTGCAAAGAAATACAACGGCTTTATAGCCCGACTGTTTTTGAAACAGCTGCATACATTTGAGTGGGCTGTAAATGGGTCAGGGCCGCATAATATTTGTGTCAGTGTTACGCACGCACGTTCTGCTGTAGCGCGTGGAACTACAGTGAAGGTGACATAGTGGGCTTTTAGACAATGGACGGGTTTTTTTTTTGCTGCAAGTGCATATTTATCTATCCGCTAAATAAAGCTTTAAATAGGGAGCTGGCTTTTGAAAATACAATTAAAAAAACCTCAGAAATATTAAAAACATATATCTTCTTGTCAGCACTGTGCTAAATCTTTATATTGAGTGGTCAAATTACAGCAGATGTTCTTATGTAGGCAGGGACTCTTAAAGAGCAACCTATGATCAGGCTTATGTCAACAAATGTAATACTGTTGTTAACCTCTTATTGTGTTAGGCTTGTGTGGTTCATGTTTTTTATTGACACGTGTCTCAGAGATGTTGTCTTTCATTTGTGTTGTTGCTGTATTGAACCACATCTTACGAAAGCTAGTTTCTGATGAGACAGGTGACTAATTCCCCAAACCATCAAGACCATCTGACATCTATAAAAGTGAGAACAAATGATCATACAAATATACCATACTTTGTGAGACAATTCCTTTAAAATCCTGCAGAATTCAAAATAATATTAAACTGGAA